ACATAAGAATAAAATATTGAAATAGAAAAAAGAAACTGATCCAACTCCATAATGCTGTTGTACTTGACTGAAGTCAACTATATACTATAAGGGGGTATTAAAAAACTAACTGTTTTCGGAATTGGATAATCAAAATCGGCATCATCAACATGCTCATGTTATAGACTGGTAATGAGCACACATAATGACTTAAAAAATACTCGTTTATCTTACAAAGGTATGATCTCCAATAATGATAGAAAGAATCGGGGCTTTTAGAAAAACATCAATGAATACAGACACTTAAGAGTAGGAACTCTCATCAAGTGCAATAGGGTGCGTGATGAAACAAGAAATTAATCGTGGTCATTTTATTTCCAAAGCTTTAACAGTTCCGAGTTGAAATATTATTTGCAATTTTCCACTTCAGAGTATTTATTTTTTCTTTAACTTCCTATGTATATATACATCTAGTACGTGCTCCTACACGCTTTTGTATAGTGTTGTCAAATTGAAGAGGAGGTTTAGCATCTGTACGATGCTGCTCACAGTGAACCTTGAGGATCCAGAACTGGAATGAGAGTATGCTGCTACCGTCATCCATATTTTCTGGAAGACATTCATAAATGAAGTTGGTGAAATTGTTCATGATCAGTGGTCGTTTGTGATAGACACAATGAAGTCCAAACTACTCGCTGGCCAGCTGTTGGAGGCCTTAGATACTTCTCAAGCACCTGAAGAATTCACCAGAATATTCCTCGGATATTGGATCGAATTTAATTGCGTGTGATTACCAACAAGAACGGAACTTGCAATGAGGCATTTAAGCACACATACTCAAAGCAACTGTTGAAATGAAGGATTTTCACGTAAGGGCCTCAGATGCGTCTGAAAATAGCCGAAGAATTCTGTTCTGCTTATTCGTGGAGTCCCATTTATAATCTTCAGGACGGTCCTTGAAGAGGAATGAGCTGTTGTGGTCAATCGTCAAATAGTAAGTGTCGGTCTTGCATTCAGCCACCTAATGATTCTTCCTTGCACTGGCTTGATCCGTGTAAAGCAATTCTAAATCTGCTTACGGAACTGAAGAGCATCATCACGCCGGAAAATCCGCACTTGGAAAAGTTATCCACCAACTTGCTAATTATATTTCAGAATCGTTTGTTGAGTGAGGAGAAGAGCATGTACTCCCACTTCCACTGTAGGGGTCTGGAAGCATTTCCAATAAATCTCTGGTTGAAGTTGTAGGTGGTGATAAAGTTCACAAAAATGACAACCATCATATCATGTCCATGATATCTGCCATGAGTTAATAAGATGATATGGAAAGGCTCCTGAGATCCTGCCCACCTGACAGTGAAGGTGGTTGATAGCCAATATTGTAGAACGAAAGAAAAAGGACTTGAATATATTAAAGTGGTGGCGAAGATGGCCGATGTTCTCTCATCCTTGTAGCCTGACTGGCAGATCTGTAGAGATTGATGGTGGCAAAAGTCAAGTCTGGAGGATGGCATATGAAATGAAATGATGGGACATGGACTCATGCAAGGGAAGGGAAGGGAAGGGAAGGGAAGGGAAAAAGTATTTTAATCGAGAGGGAACGGGAAGAAAATTAAAAGACGCCTCGAGGCAGAACATGGGGAACGCAGTCCCCTTAAGATACAGTGCTGGGAGTAAAGCGCCGCCCGAGCCGTACTTACACTAAATGAAATGTGGAGGCAGTGGAGAACGATTATAGAAACAAACGCGGCATTCGGCCTCAGCCTGACGTTGTTTGACTCGACTCCAAATTCAGAATCAGGCGAAAGGCCCCAAAAGCCATGCACAGTGAAATGTACTCTGCAAACAAACAGTGCGAGGAAAAATTCCTCATCTGCCCTGACCCCCTCCCCCACCACATTTGGATGTGCATGGCTCCATCCGAGCTCTAGCCGAATGCAGAATGTGGCAAGGACCAGCACCAGTCCACTATTCTAGCCAGGGTTTAGGGTACCGGACGGTACCGACGGACCTGCTTGGGAAATGAACATACTGCAGCAAAGCGAGGGATCAGAGTTTCGGTTTTCCTTTCCTCAGGGAAAGCTATACGAGAATGTGGGAGTTTCTTCGAAGCGTCCATGTGCTGGAAGAGGATGGCAAAAGTACCGAATACTGTACACAGCAGACAAGACCAGAGCAGAGCAGACAAGTTGGGGTCAACGACTTACTCACTACGAGTGATCCAGAGGGAGGCCAGAGCTAATCCAACGAAACTAGGACAGGCCTCCTGCGCTGAGCTGGGCAGAGCAGAGCAGACCAGACCAGGAGGGCAGGGCATTTCAGATAGAAGGAACGGATCGAATCAGTGACTGCAAGCAGCAATCTACTCTGGCCTGGTAGCGAGTGAAGTGAATTCTTATCAATGTTCTGTCGACAGACGGACAGTCGGTGATGCTTTCCTTTTGAATCTGGTCTGACGGAATACGGTCCCCTGTATCCCAAGCTCTGATAATCGGCTTTTATCCCCTAGATCTCCTAGATGCAGCCTGGCTTGCTTGTCTGCTGCGTGCCTGCCATAGTTTGCCTCCAGGGTTACGTGGATCTGTGCACCCGGTGCTTGGAAAGTCGAGAGTTCGTAGGTGTACGATCTATGATGTACAGAGAGGAAATTATAGTCTTCGTGTGGCGAAGAACCCTCGCCCTTTATACGTCGAGCTGTGAAGGACGACTTGCAAGTGCCTCAAGAACATAATATCGAGGCCGAGCTTGTCCAAACATCAAAAGCAAGCAATTAGGTCAAGTGGCGATTTATGTCGATAGCACCTTCTGGACCTTCTGACTTGCTAAACAGTGCATCACTGGCTTCCAGTATTTTGCTAGAGGTGACCTATTCTCGATAGCTTGCTTCCCGGCGTGATGGATTTTGTTGGGAAAAACACCACATGCTCGAAATGTTGAGTTAACTGTATGATGGGAGTCAGCTGACACGAGCAGAACCAGTACCCCTACTCTATAGCCCAAAACCTTCACCTTCAATTTTCTGTTGGAGGTTTTCAGCAAACCCCACCGCATCTCAGGTCTGTCCACGGCACAGAAGTCTTCCATATGTTTTACCACATGAGAGCTGCCAGCAAGTTACGCGTTTTAAACATTGCAAGCATCTTACACTGACCTTGGGGCGGGTGTGAAAAGTGTTTCTTCTACATGATATCATACCGACGGCCTTTCTCACACCCAGAACCGGATAGACTTACAAGTGAAGTAGAGTGATCATGGTGGAACTTTTCATGCTCACATATATGCAATCTACAATTTCTGGCCCATGGGCAATGGCAGAACCGGCACCAGCAGCGTGTTCGATTGGATCCACGAGTTCTGATGCTTACACTGCTGCCCAGATGTTGAAAGCCAAGCTTAACAGATGACAAAGCCAGCTGTCAGACCAACGTTTTTAAACATTGCAGTTGGCTTACCTTCGAGCCAAAAGAGGGGACTGGTTTCATCTTTTTTGGAACTTGTGACTAACGAACAAAAGAGCTCGGAGAGCATCTGGCCAGCAGGAAGTATACACCCCGCGATCCCTAATAAAATGAAAATTTTCGCCGTTACCATCATGAGATGCAGCGTTAGTCCGGGAACAAATAATTAATAGCTTGAACCCTGACCTGTGGTTGTCAGACCTGACCGTCATCTCCTAGATCCACTACATTGCAGCATTGGCCTGGGGCTCATGTCTTCCTAAAGAGCTGATTGGGCTCTTCTATACGACTTGCGTCAGTCGCCTTAAACTCTTACTCTCGGTTTCGAAAATACGGATCTTTTCAGGTTCCTGGAAGATGGTGTACAACAATTAGTGTCGTTTGAAACTCTGACCACACATTGTAAGTACATCTGCTACAATTTGTTTTCCACGCATAGCTACAGCATTGTGTACAAACCGAATGGGTGGCTTGTCATGTTCACGGCTTTTCCTGACTAACGTACAACGGCCTTTCTTTCCATCATCCTCTAAGATTCTACACGCAGCTTGCCATCTACACCAATTCATTTTGTAACAAAAACCATCAAACAACCGGCTGATTTCAAATTATGCCATCTTCTGAGCTTAGATGTAGTGCCCTCTCTGAGTAGAGATGTCAGTGTATGATGCATGCTAGCTACGTCGATTACAAATATTGGTTACCAAGCTCTCCAACTCCTCTACTACACTGAGTGCACCGTACTGAGCGTACTGATGCCAAATTCGGGCTGCGATATTTTGACCACAGACGGTTAGCTTTCGTCCTGCTCAGCTGACGATCCAATATTTCTGCATGAGTACTACTTCTTGGAATGTGGTGTAGATCAACGTTATAAAAGCTTGACTATAACTGCACGCTTGTTTCAACCGTACTCCGAACTGCACACTTCACTACTAGTCCTGCGTACACATGTACTCACAGGGCCTTTAGATACCTAGGAAGATGCATTTGCTCGGACAACCAAACACCTCCGAGCATCATAGGAAAATACTTTGAAAATCTCGATGGGAGTGTGTCTCTGCATTTTCAGAACTAGACATTAGGTCTCTAAAAGAAAAGATCGAATTTGACTTCCAGTCCTGAATTTCGTCTTCGAAGGCTACAAAATGCTTCACCAAGTCAAATCAGCTAGAAAAAAATGCTCCGCTCATGCTTTCAATCTATAATTGTGTCTACTGATGATGACGACTTCGAGTCATATCCAAATGAAGTCAGCAAAACCTTGTCCTTACGTATGAATCGACATAAACTGTATCAATTCAAGACAGAAGAAACAAGCTTTAATCACATCAATAAATACAAAAGTTGCTAAAACAGAAACGACAAAATGCATATACCAACTACTCCACGCATCAACCCAATCATTGTTAGATCTTGATGAATTACTGATGAGGAAGTTTCCAAGAACAATTGAACGTGCTCCTTGCATGAGATGCAAGTGCGATAAGCAAATAGCTCTGTAGACGTGATTCGCAAGTTCCACCAAAGAGTCCAAGATACACCAAACAGGAAAAAACATCTGACATGATCACTTTTGATTTTATTGATAAGCCAACAAGCTTCGGTGATGGAAGCTTTGAGTAACTTCAGTCTCATCTTCTTACCTAGAATGTACTTTGTTAGAGTACACAAGTACAGATATCAGGAAGCTTGTTTCGCTCCTCTTCCAGAACTAGGTCCTGAGTCATCTTTTTTTCCATTACCAGCATCTTCACCTTTCTTTGCCCACGACGGGGCTCTATCGGCCTCGTAGCGGTAGTCATAAAACAGCTCTTCTCCGGCATTTATTCGCTCTTTCGCGAATATGCCTACCCTATGATCACCCGCCACCATTATGACCTGTGCCAACCCAAGTAAAATTCCACTTGTTAATTTTTTGACTGCGATGAGAAAAGACTGTCAATTCATTAATGCGTACATTCTCAGTTATACTTCCTTACATAATAGAAGTGAGCAGATAAGGTTCAACCCAAAGTGATAGAATCATAGTCGGGTGGAGGCTACAGATAACAGGGGACAGCAAGACTCAGAACAATTAACTCATTTTAGAAGTTCCACTCCTCTCAAATGAACCCCGTGAGTCTGACATCATAGTCCAGGCAAAGAAGAATATCTTCCATGATACACGACCTACAGGTCAAATTTCCTTGAACTATTGCAAGTGTACCTTCGCGTAGCAATTAGGATTGGGTGAATGATTGGCAAACTTCAACTTGTCTCCCTTCCGGCACGCATCAAGGACATACTGCACAAAAAAAGATAAGCCACATGTTACTATAACCTTCTTGATCAAAATTGAGCTCGAACAAAAACTCAATGTACACTCGAGTGAACCATCTTCGTGAGTACCGGCAGCCTACCTGATCATTCAGGTTAAAGAGAAACGAAGAATTCTCACGGTCGTAAATTTTTCCACGTTTGTCCGCCTCACGATGTGATATAAGCTCTCCCGTGTATTCACCAAGATAGTCATGTTTGTTTACCGTACTCTGAAATACCCATAGAAACGCTTACTTAGGTTCACATTTTCTCCGTGGACAAACTTGAGCTTAGGAGTACCAATATTCTCCAAGTCGTGATGGCCCCATACACAATTTAAAAAAACACCAAAAGAGCCATATCTTTTATCTTCCGTTGTAGTCTAGTTGGTTAGGATACTCGGCTCTCACCCGAGAGACCCGGGTTCAAGTCCCGGCAACGGAACATTGAGATTGCTGACTTTGCGAGTCAATCTGCTGACTTACAAAGACAGCAGATTCAATTTTTATGTATCAAGATCGACTAGTTATGCTCTTTCGTAAAAAACAGTGGATGTGGCAAAATAATACTTACTTTCAAAAACGCACCCCACCCAGCTACATCTGATCTGCTCAGAAGCACCTGTTGCAAAGAGTAAATATGATGTCACGTTTGAGGCCATAATAATTTACTACACATTGTGCATGTCTGCGATGAGGTCAGTGCTGAGATAGGCATTGACATACATATAAAACTCTTCTCTCCGTAAACGAGGTTGCTTCAAACCTCTTCCATGTCTAAAATAAGACAACTACAAAATATCGAATATATCCAATGGACATCAGAAACAGCAGATATAACAAAACCATACATCTCATGTGTAAATCATCGTACCCTTTGTTGCTGCTTTAACAGAAGCTTCATATTATGACAAGTGTATTGTTCCTTGTCCTCTCTTAGTGGAGGAGCCACATGTCCAGCCCCACACCTGATAACATTACAGGATCAGCTTATCTTTAAGGACATTGAACATATAGATAATACGAAGGTACAAATCGGGTAATCTCGAGAAAAAAAGTGACTAAGAGCATTTGTAATGACACGTGATCAACCGCAAGAGTTTAACATGCACGAAGACCAAAGAGCACAGACTCGGGAGGTGCAGTCGTAGGGGCTTTGTCTAACACACAGCCCGATGCATTGGAACCCTGGCGTATGAAAAATGGCATAGCATTCAGTCTGAAGCGTAGACGCAGTCTAAGGCGAGCATACGTGTAGTATTCAAAACAGAAGCAATAAGCGAGTCGCAGAAATGGGGAAGCAGGCAGCAACAAACCAAGGGATGAAGTGCACGAAGAACGGTTTAAGCAGAAAATAGCATGGTTGGAAGAACAAACGAGTGCATAAGCACCAATAGAAAAGGGGGTGAAAGGAACCAATCACTATCAACAAGATCTACCCGACGGGCATCACTCCATGAATACAAAACCCCCGCTGCTTCAAGTTGTAACATCTGATGCTTCCATAAGCTATATGGAACACGTCGAGCAACTCTGATGGTGAAAATCACATCGATTGAGTTCTTCATGAAGGAGATATGATGGGTTACATGTAGGCTACTTACCTACCGCTTCCAGCCCAATGAAATCAAAGATCCAATAACAATAAGGGATCATGTAATCGACAACTACAGTATGACATTTCAGAACTACTAACGTATTAAGATGATGCAAACTCCACTTATAACGTTTCAGTATGGACCACAAGATGGAGCACATGACGGCGTTTGGATTGTCCTTTTCTATCAAGGATCCGGTAAAAGATATCATACAAGCAATTAAGCAGGTAATGATATTAATAATCAATCCGACAGTAAAACAGAATTCGGAAATGTACGTTGGAAAGAGATTACTTGATACAGGGTAAAGCCTCACTAACTTCTCCACACGACAGATACAAAAACACTAAAACTATCATGCCGAAAACAAAGGTTGTGATTGTACCCAATCCAACAATTGCGGCAAACGTCGGGATCACATTCTCGGCCAGCAGCAAAACACGGGCATTGTCTACTGCAACACTGACTCTTTGCGCAATGGCATCCTCGAAAACGATTTTTGCAACCCTTTGCACACCTGGAACATCCGCAGCATTAAGAATTATCTCACTGACTCATGCTTGACAATTTTTGCATTCGACTCTCCTCGAGCGTGAACCAACATTACAATTATCTCTGACAACAATCATGGTAACAACTGGCGCAAACGTTAGTGTTCATAGAGACACGTTATGATCTATACTTAAAATCCATGCGATAAGAACCATAGTGTCAGGATTCATACCCGCAATATTTTTCGCAGCAAGTTCCATTAAGTTGGCAAGGACATTGCTTTCCACAACTAAAGAGGCAACCACAGGGTGTAAATTGACGACAAGGCATATCCTTGCCGTTATTCATCCTCTTTCGAATAGCCGACTGGCCAGCTGATTTGAGAGTGAACTTCAATCTGCGACTGCCTTTCTTCTTTCCAAAAAACTTTGCTCGTGCTCGTTTAATCTCATTATCCTGAAGGCCAGCCGAACCGATACTAGTTACTCAATGAAAACTTGAGCGAAAAGAGTAAAAGGTTAGTAATCGCATGCCTTCAAACCGCTCTTAGCGTATCCAGATCATGTAAATCTTTACTTATTACTATTTGCTTGTCACAGCCTGAAGACCATCTACCCAGTGCCCTGGATTAGCGGTGATAGTAGCGGCAAACTGGGAAGAAGACACAGTGAGAGGGAGTCGCAAATGGAGAGAAGACTAATTAAGAACGAAGAAGGTAAATATTCAGAGTAAAATTGTTATAGCTCGTTCGAAGCTTCCAGTTGTCAACCAACAGACAAAATATTAGCTCCTCCGTCTGTAGAGATTTGTACTACAATATATGACTCGAGAGAGCAGCAGCTTTCAGCTTTGAACGTAGGTCAATATATATCATGCGTATGATAGCATATCCATGTAGATGTGGTATGAAATGCACAAATGCGTTTTATAGTACGTGCATATATAATGCATCTACCTCAACTCCCCCAGATTACACCCACTTTCCAGTAGGTAATGAGTAGGGCTTCATGAAATATGCAGACTTGTTCAGTACATCAAAGGGAACACTGAGCTACGATAACTATCATACATGCGTTCAACTATGGGAAACAAAGATGTGGTTGGAACAAGAAACACTACTTATAGTGTGGTCGTCCTCATGACAGCACCACATCCACTGCAATGACTAAAGATGAGATTCAAGATTCAAGAACGTACCCAATTAGTGACACAAGCTAGACTATCAGCAAACTGATGGAGTCCAGCTTCGACACCCCTCAAAGCAGCTGTTTCCTGTGCAGTGATGTACTCAGCAACCTCGACACAGGTCTTGCATCCTTTAAGCATATTCTTCGCGATCAAACAGCTGCCTCATCGTGTATACAAAGTGTGTCAGGCTATGTGTCACGATCCTCCTGCGTGAAAATAATATTACAGCAATTCATCCCTGAAATCTGGATACACATTGCTGATTCAATGTAGAAAGCTTTTCCAAGACAAATAGCACTGACCTGTTTCTTCCAAAAATCTGCAAACCCTTTTCATACAATCCCTTTTCAAGCGGAGTCCATTTGTCAGCTGAACACACTTTTGCGGTCGCGGGACTGTCCACAAGTGCTCCTTCGGTAGGGTAAATCATTGACAGAGGTTCCACAATCACAGGATCCTTCGAACGATCTACGTCCTTTCTAGGTCCATCGCCATCCATAGGCTTTAATCGTTTTCCATGAGATTTGCTTCCCTCAACCACACTCGCCCCATCACCGCTATTCAGAAAATCCTTCCATTCATTTGCAACCTGAGATGTATCTAAAATGTGGATACCTGTACTGTTGCATCCCTCCTTTGATGGCTCCAAATCATCGACGCCTTTACTTTTGGGGTCTATCTGCGTTTGAAGGTGGTCAGAAATTTTTTGTGCAATGCTATTTCTAGAACTCCGTGCAAGCTTTTTAGCAGCTGTATTCCTTGTTCTCTCCTCTTTTTGTGGTTTTGAATCTTGGGGACTCCCTGCGCATGGTACTGCTTGACTTTGAAAATTGTCTAATTCCAGAACATCCCCGGGTTTTTCTAGCGACTTTCTTGCTTTCCGTGCAAGCTTCTTAGCTGATATGAATGTCTCCCGAGATTTCTCCTCCTTGGTACTTTCTTCTCCCTTACGTTTCGAGTCAGTTGATGGCATTGATATCTGAAGCTCTTGAGTTTCAAAAGCACCTCCGCTTCTTTCTACTGAAGTCTTTCCAGACACTTTCCCAGACATCTTCTCTTTGATCTCAGTGCCATCTTTCGGCACTTCCCCTCCGCTTTGATTTACCTCTAAAGATTTCCCCTTTGAATGTGATGTTTGGGACTGCCGACTAACTACGACAAACTCTTCTCCTTTCCTCAATACGGTGACTTTGGAGAGTGCTTTTTGAGAGCTTTTCTTCTCATATAAAATGGTAGTATCATCTTCCATTGAGAACGCCATCTCTACTTCTTGATATTCTACAGAAACTTCGGTTGTCTTTCCCGTCCTTTTTCCAAGTTTTGTGATGAGTTCTCCAGCTTCCGCCCCGAATCCTGGGGAAAACTTCACATGAGTTTGATCAGCAGCATTCAAACTCTTCTGTGTCTGAAGAGATGGAGCTTGATTACCACCCAAGCCCCACTCTTCTGCCCCCTTTCTTGATAAACTCCTCGCTAGTTTCTTGGCAGAGTTTACTGTCACCACGACCTTCGAAGTTCTTTTTGGAGACTCAAGAGCATCGGCTGGATCACTTAAAGCGGATCCTTTACCTGATTCGACAATCAACGTATCAAGCAGATCCTGACTACCACTTCCCGTGAGGTCCTTTGTAGTAGATATATCGGCTGTGAAAACAATCTCACCCTGAATTTGCTTGTCTACGGACCAGTATGCCTCCCCATCTTGAAGCTTCTGTCTTTTAGCAATTTTTCCTTTTTCGACACCTTCTATTGTGAAGGACGTTTCGCCCACATTTAGAGGTGAAGAACAAAAACCGCTCGACACAGGCGATCGAGCTTGAGAAGGTGGAGGCTAGAAACAATAAGAACAAGATGGTAAGTCTAGTGCATCACTAATTTCAATTTTGTTACCCAAGCAGGAAGAGAAATATTATGTCAGTTCCTACTCAGTGTAGTGTACTCTATGCGCGAATTTCAGTTAATGCTTCAGAAGTCGCACTAATAAACTGAACAAAGGATAGAATGTTACCTTTTGTACCAGCATATAGCAAAAACGTCCGCATGGCTCAGACTTCTCTGTTTCTATACTAGTCAGAGGAGGCTGCCTTTCACTCTACACAAGAAGAAACAAGCTATGTTTAACAATGATGTCAAAAGTTGCGATGTTTATCAGCATTCATCTTAAGTTTAGGTGGTATGATGAGAATTCAAGGTGAACATAAAGAATTATCTTACAGGATGGACAAGTGGCTGAGAGCAGCCGTGCAAACGGCAATCAAAAACCTGAAAACAACACAGGTGACACAGTTAAAACAACATGCTTGGCTCCTAACTCAAAGACAAGCCAGAAAAAATTGCCGAGATGAAAGAAACAGTTACATTTCAAAAGGTATCGAGTTTTACCAAGCAGCGACGGCAGAAAAGATTATCAAAGGAGTCCATAGCTGCAACTAAATCTTTAGCTTCAACCTTCTCTTCTCTCTCATCCGTCTTTCCAGCATGTTTATGAGAAAAATCTGCCTCCAATCCACTTGGAGCCTCCTTGAATGCAAAACGTCCTTGGTCTCTAGTAACCTTGCGTCTACCAGAAGGAGAGATAATTACTTTAGTGTGAATGCCCTTCCCATGAGCTTCACATTTTGCTTGTTTGTCCAGATCGTTAGCAATCGTTTCGTATCTTGCCTGCATTTAATAAAAGTATCATACATCGTGTCAGGTAGGAGAAGCTTTGGCACAGAGTACTATTAAAACTTCACACAAAGAATTAAGCATGAAATCTTCACATTCCTTGAAGTGCACTTAAGGTAATCCAATAAAATGGTTCATTTAGATTCACTTCCAACCTTCATCAGGAACTACATCTCCCAACAAGGATCATATATATAGGTTCTCACGATGAGGGAGTCCAGTGATGTGATACATACCTGAACCTCTTCGCGGCTCACATCGATAGATTGCGCAATATGTTCAAAAACGTTCTGATCAACTCCACACTCTTGGACAGTCATCCTACACATTAGCGAAAAAAAATTCATTCCCAAGGTGATCCACAGGAGAAAACACCCGCAGAGTGGAAATTACAAACCACAGTTTTGGAAAAGTTACATGAAAAAAATGGTTGAGAGATTGAGTGAACTTTCTGAAAGATTTGATCGAAAATACCCTACTACAACTAACAGACTAAACATGACCCATGGATCAACCATTTAGTCCTCTCAGGAATTGCCTATTGTTTGCAGATTGTAAGGCTGATAACATGATCAACACAACATCTTTTACACAGAATGCTTGAAAGTGGTATAAGGTTCTTAGGCATTTGTTCAAGTAGACCGTATGTCAAATCCAATATACCGGCACTGAAAAGACTTAGGCGATCCATACCATATGAGAAAATCTTCACCCTTACTGAATTCATGTTTGGGCTCCTCTTCCTCGATTTCTTCCTCCTCACTATCACTAGCAATTAATGTTTCGTTCCCAACTGGGTCATAGTATATCCGCCTGCGTCCTTGAACAGATTGGTCCTCAGTCATGCGTTGATTTCTGCAAGGAGAAAGATTCAATTATGAAATAGAATGAGATATGTACAAATCACGCGATGTACATCAGCAAAAGCCTCACATATCATAAATGACGGTACGTTCGTTCAGTTTAAACGCCATTACCTTACAACTAGAACCAAAAAAATTAGTGTCACAACTGAAAAATACAGACCCCGTGCCCTGGCTTAAAGGTGCTAGTGGCAAAAGACTGGAAAATAATGTAGGATGAGATGCACAGAGAGACGAGGAAGGGAAGACTATCTAAGAAAAAGGGTCTCTTCATATAGTACAATTGAGCTACTTTAAGAACATATATTATGGGAAAGGTAAGTTCGGCATCGACAGATGAGACCCTTAACGCATTTCTTCAATCCTTATTGCAACAAACCAATGAATCATACAAGTTGGGAAGATCAGAGGTCCGTTTATCTGACAAAACTCAGGACATGTCACATATCGTGGAGTTGAGATCTCAGTGTTTGAGAACAGTAAATAGGCATTTTGATGGCATAACCATTGTGTGAGATTCAATCCAAGTAATAGCTAGGAATTGACCAAACACTAAACATACAGTTTTGTGAAACAAAATTCACCTTTTTATGTCAGTAAAAGCTATAGAAAAGACTCGTTCTTGGTTTCCAAGTTAAAGGATAGATTACTCCCAAACTGAAACCGTCATCAATTTTGTTAGAATTCAAGATAATGTGTCACCTGTCTAGATATATCCACGTGGTATAGGGGGGTACGTTCTGCTGAGGGGTGAGTTTGATCGTCCTTAGTGTCTGCTTTGCTGGATTATTACTAAACATAATTGGTACTGCAGCAGAAAATCCATCATCTTTCCCTTCAGCTCCTTCCGAGGGCATCACCACTCTCTGGTGTTTGAAAAAAGATTCCAGCGAGAAAACTTTATCCTCCCATCTTTTGGTGCAATCATTGAGGCATCCTGTATACTGCGACAACTTGGCTCTGTTGCTTTCCATCTTTTCCTGTACAAGTCACAAACCTAATCAGAAGAGTGGTATATGCAGAAGTCCAAGGATTTAGACTACTGAAAAAATGAGATCAATTAATATACAACACTGGATTTACATACCACCACAACCGCGCTACGATTGCTTTGAACTTTCTGCTTCAACCTGGCTAAGGTGGTCTCCAATTTTGCCAACCCAGATTCCTTCGAGAGTTCATCATCATCAGTCTGAGACAATTCATGAAGCAAGATGAAATCAGTTTTACATAGGAGACATCAAATAGATTGCATTTACAGATATGGCAGATCCTGTCTGGCTTCCTACATAAGTTGCAGAAAAGAAGTGTACATGAAGCACATACACTAGTGTTCATAAACAACGAGTTGCTCTTGGTCCAGCAAGCAATTGGATGCCACTCTCAAGAAAATATGTCGATTCCAACATTGTCGGATGTTTAGTTCTGACGAGAGGTCCACAATCGTCCGTTGGACAGCCGAGGACTTCGGTCCCTTACGATACTGAAACTTGAGAGCTATTCTGAGCCACATATTCTCATGAATCTGCACTTATTACAAGACTTTGGTTCTTTATTACACGCTTTCTTTGCTGAGAATTCCAAACACAATCTCAATCAATTTCTTCAACCCGATCCCAACTAAAAAACTACAATCACTCACGACATTGGAATTTGGACCTCATTCGAACACAAAAGTAAACTTAAGAAGGAAGAATCTGAGGCCATCAGCTAATTATCATGAGCAAAGGTCATCTTCATTGTCGACAATATTCAAAGATATGCATCTCATGGGACTACAATTCTCTCCTAAAGTCATATTGGGTTTCATTTCCAATTCATTGTGTTTACATCATCCATTCTCTATCCAACAGTGTATGTCGCTGAACTTCTAGTTTGTATCATGAGCTGCATATATATACTAACATAAACTCTAATCACTCATGTGCACTCAATTATCAATTTGATGGTAAGTTAACAATCAACCTGAACACCAATCAGATACTGACCAAAATCCAATTCCATATTGGACAGGTAGTATGTACTGAATCCTGTATTCTCTTTCATGCTTTTCATATGGTCTTTCGAAAGATACATTATGGAGACATGCTGGTAATGTTGACATTGTAAAACTGAAGAGCTTCACAACAGCGCTCACATTGACACATTACAGCATTGTCAATCTCTGAGAAATGTCCAGAGTAAATGTGGGAAATAGAGACGAGGTGCGATTGAAGACGACTCATTTCAACCTGCAGTGATCTGAATTTTATACCACTCCACAGATATATGATAATAATCTGTAAATTACTTCCAGTTATTTCGTTGGATTACAAAGGACTTTCACGTGTCACATATGAAGTAAGAACAAGGCGCCTGTCACCATGCACGTGAATTAAACTCGCCGACTGATTGAGGAGGCCAGTTCAAAAGGTCAATAAGAGCAAGCAACTCATACCTGCTCAGCACGGACCTCGGGCTTCAGCTGTCGGTTGCCTGAGCCAGCAGCATTGCTTGTCTTCGTAGGACGTACAAAAATCCCACGACTCTCCATCTCTGCAGAAGGGGACTGCTCCTACATTATCTAAGCCGCACAGGCGCTAACTACAAGCCATCCTCAAAATTGATTTCACGCCCCAGACGTGCATCCCAGCTTAGCCAAGATAATGCATAATAGATCGACATTCTCTGTACGGTCCAAGCTCGCGAATCAAACACCCATACGATCATCTGCAAAAGTCGCAACGGGGGCAGACCTCCGAGACTGATCCCGTCTACGCTCCACGCCAAGGATCAAGGAGGAGGATTCACTTAATGCATCCTCCTCCTCTTTCCCTCCCACCGAGTGCTCAGGTCTCGCTGTCAGGCCAATGTCAAAAAACTAGGGTAAGATTATCGGCATCTTCTGGCTCGTCAACACCCATTTTCCTCGAAAGAAACCGGAAGCCAACGTTCCCCGCGCAGCTCCCGCTGACGTATAATGGATTCCTCGCACAGCCAGCCGCGCCCCGCCCCACCCGGCCCTGCCCGGCCCCCAGGCGCTCCTCCTCGGACGCCAATTTCAGCTACTGCATGCCAACTCAGCTCTGCCAGCTCGGCCCCACGCCATCTGATTTTCGCCACATCGGCACAAAGTGCAGCATGCAACGTGGTGTCGTCATTATTTTATTTTCCGGTTCAGTTGCGCATTCCCTGACACCCCGAGTAACGACTCAGAATTCTAATGCCACACACCGAATCGCGTTTGAATGTGCCCGTGACGTGCGGCGATCCGACGGTTCGAATTTGTAAGCGCCTCGCGACTCTTCGTATTCTGTCATCGCTACCGTCCGTGCTACATGGGACCGTCGGACCATACGCTCCTCGCTCGTTCACTCGCCGTCCTTATCGCTGAGTGACGGAGGCAGCAGATCCCTGTGATTCCGTTGCGAGAGAATCTAGTGTTTTGTCTCTACATTGGGTTCATCACATCTCCACATATCCCTTCTTTTCCTCATACGTTTCACCAAAGTTTACCGCCCCTGTACAAGCATTCGTTTTTTTAAGCAAAGATTTCAGTATTTTCTCTTAATGTAGATTCTCACTCTTTCTACGTGCAACATAGATAGGTGCAATAGGGCTTCAAGATCAGAATACATTACTTCTATTTTCTTCTTTGACATATTGCAAGTTTCAACTTGACAGTAACCTAATTTGCAATACAACATTCATTTAATTCAAGAAACAAATATGTAATAAAATACGTTCGTAATTAAATTGTGCCGTATCCGTACCTTGTGTTAAATCTACTTTTAACATATAATTATGTCAATGAGAGATGCGAAGAAAAACACGACTTCCAACACTTAAATTCTTGAACACCAAAGCTTTTTTGGAGATAAATTTTTTCAATTACAACTAAAACAAGTTTAGTTGTTGGAAAACGATAAACCCATGAACTAATCCTTATGGACTTACATCCTTCAATCACGTGTCATGGCAGTCTTTGTCTGTGTGAACCTTCATTTCGATTGGACCTGACATGTGGTGACGAGTTTTCACAAATGTTAAGATGATGTGCATAGGTGCGGTAAGAACTGGAAGAAAATCTGGTTTCTAATACTTCATGTAAGCAAGATGTCGCTGAGTAATAAGTGTAATAAGTATAATATTAGAAAGTTGCTGAGTGAGATCACACTTTTATTTATCACTCAAACAAGTCATAATATATATAATACACATGTCAAATATTTGACATGTGTATATTGTATATCAGAGATGATACTTAGTCTTGATAAAAAAATTTGAAACCTTCTTGATTCTAAGTATCTCCCTTCAATACTACACTTCTTTACGGGTGACACAGCAAAAGAAAGGGTTTTTTTTTTGCTGTGTTAAACCTCTTTCGTTCCATACAATTTGTTTAAAGAAAAAACACTCTTAGAATTGTAGCCAAGCACTCGAAAAAAAATTAGCACAAAATTCGGAGCTCTACTTACTGTGGTTTTGTCAAAACATTGTTTAAATTTATTTTCTTGCTGAACATTTGGTAACGAAATCTGCCATGATTCCAGTCGAATTCTTGAGCGTAACAGGGTACGAGATACTTCCAAGAAATATTTACATCCCCAGTGAGATGAACTGCAAGCCACGTCCTTTCTGTCAAAGGATCACGAGATTCTGAAAATACTAAGATCTGATTTATCGTCCCTGGATGGATGCAAATGAAGAGTGTAAACAGTTGACGAAAGAAAGAAACACGACTTTACGATTTTTATGTGTCAAAATTCTATGCGCGCTCTAGTTCCAGAGGTTTATGGATGGCAGACTGTTGCGTCTGCTTTTCACGTCGACTCAGAAGAAAGGTTCAAAGGTGATGATGCACGAGGTTCCGCTTTGAAAGACATTATGACATTAGAGAAGATGAATAGAGAGGAAATCTACTGAATGGAATTCGCTGATAGATTCTGTACGAAGTTTGTCAATCGGCTCAGTCTTGGGGATCCGGATTGACAACAAGTAGGATTCAAACTCTTCTGATTGATGGGTGTATGAACAGAAGTATGATACTGTAAATTCAAGTAAGTTCAAGTAAACGAACGTATGAAGCACAAATCTACGCCAACCAGAACTAACGGACTGAAGGCACGCGAACGACAAACCACTGACAAATTAGTAACAACCAGTTCACTTATCCACGCTGTGTTGTACAGTGACAAGATGAGGAAGCTGTACAAGCTAGTGTAACAACAATCATCATAACCCGTCAGAAAAAGAGCCACCACAACACGACATCTATCCGCGATAGTGGTGAGCCATGACAGCTAGCAACATTGGATTACAAAGAAAAGCCGACTTTGATTCAAATGTGAAGAGGAAACCTACCTCTTCAGGCCGTGACTTGAAAACAAATCCTCTACCGCTAGCACTGGCACTTTCTAGGAGTGCCATCTTGTCCAAGATTCTTTACACAAAAAGTGCAGCTTCACACTTTTAAAGAATCTCCACCAAAAAAAACTGTACTCCTTCGCGAAAAAATTGCAAATGTCAGCCTACATCCGTCTGTACAACCTCACACTCTACTTCCTCTTAAATTACATCATCCACGTCTAGTCCTCTGTTGCAAGCCTCCGAAATACCCCTCCCTCTTAACCTCATCCCTATGCGTAGGGGACCCAAAGTAGGTGCCGTTTGAATTTCTTACACTTCTGTTACCTGGTCGCATTCGGCTCTTTGCCTGCATCAGGCCTCTAAACAGCCATGAGGCAGTCACTAGAGTGCCGACAATGACCGCCAGCACGATGCTAAAATTAACAAAAACTACGTTTGCATGGCCAGCGAGGTCTTGCTCAATCCATGACTGAATAACCTTGTTTCGAGTTGTGGAACTTAGAACAACCCCTCCTTGCGAGCTGCCATCCCCAGAGCCAGATGACTTCGCCTGAGCTTTGTCCAACTGTTTCCGTGCTGCGATGTATGCTGCATATTTGAAACCAAAGGTGTATCGAGGACCTGGCCACAAGCACTTCCGAGACCAAAATGTTCTTGTTCGCCACATCGAATCGAAACTTCTCTCACAATCCTGCAATCAGAAACATCACCTTGTAAGAAGAGAATCCGCATGACATTACTTTCGTATCTACAGATAGCCGAGCTTGAAATCAATGTGAAGTTGATCTGCACATCTGGCGTTTTTTGGCTTCAGCGATTACCGGAATATATTTCCCTTGTTACAGGACAGACCCGCGAGACGAACTCCAACAAAACACCGGCTCACCTGCATGCGTAGTTCCTTATATGCCTCCATAAGGGGGTCGTAGCAGTACGCTCTCATGAGAGCAGTATTTTTTCGCAGAAGATGCAGTTTGAGTTCCTCAATGCTGCGAACCAGCTCTTTCTTTTTATCCTCCACCATGGTTGAAGGCAGGTAATCTTTCACTAAGGCAGTATACTCGTTGAGATAATGCTTCTCAAGCTGATCAGTCTGTGGCACATGGTTACGTACACGAGTAATACGTCAGTCGATACTGATGTGAAGTTCATGAGAACCTTCTTATATGCACCACATAGAGCGACTGCTTTTTCTTCCTGAAGTGAGTGTACTTCAAATTGTACACTAACTACTGCTGAAAGCCACAACCTTAAATAGACGGCATCTAAATACACATACCTTGGTGGTGAGAACTTCATCATTGTCAGGAAACGGAGCAATTTTTGCCACTTGCTCTTTGTATTGAATAGTCAATAAAGCTGCCTGGTGATCACAGTAGGCAAGGATTTTGGCATCATTCTGCGCCTGCAAAGACCGATTAATGCGAGCTTAGTAAATTACAGCACTTACATGTATCGTAACCGCCAATTCACAAAGTCAGCTAGCCTTGTTCTGGTTTCAAAAAGAGACCGACTGCTTCCTCGCTTCCAAGAGAAATAGAATACCACTTGACAGAAATAAATAATGGCAAGTAAATGTCTGTTGCAGTATATCCAAGACAGAAGGTATCACTCGACTCGTACACACCTGAAACTCTGCAAGCCGTTGTTTGGTCCACTGGAGACATTGATATTGTTGGAAATCATACTGCTCATCCCCGGTACCGAGCCATAGAAGCCCTCCCTCTTTTACTGTCTTGTCGAGTGCAATTCGGGCCACTGCTAGAGCGGTCTTGCTGATCTCTGTAAGTTTCTTCGTGGAACAAGGCCTCTTGAGCTCGTGACTGCCAGCCTGAGCTTGGCTTCCAGGTGAACTAAGACATCCCTCTTTTGTCATGGCTTCTTCATATGCACTGCGATATCCATCCTTTCCTCTGTTGAGAATAACTGAGATCTTCTCAGCATTGATTCGATACACCTTATCACATTTGTTTTGGATATCTGTCTGCATTTGAACACGGGCTTCATTGTAAAGACGACCGCCACGATGTGGGCCCACTAAAGCCTCGTACCTGCAAAAAATGAGACAAGTAAGGGTTTGCAATTTCTGGGACTACAGCAACTACATTGTCCCGAAAGCTTCTGCGGGTTCTTTTTTCGACCTGAAAGTCTGCTTTAAGACTTTCTAATTTTTAAAAAAGTAACGTAGATGAACACGGATTTCTTGAAGAGGATGTGGAAATGTAGAGAGAGACAACAAACCTGTACTAGTCAGGCAAGATCTGAACGTTGTGAAGTGGGAAAAGATTGACGGCTCAAAACGGTAGACCAATGAAGATGTTCTACACTAGAGGTGAGAAAAGGCAGGAAAAGATTACAAAAGGTTTTGTGCTGGAGATAACGTGTTTCCTGTCATGATAACATATCGCATGAAACGAGCAGAACAGAAGGAATTTAGAGGGTGAGGTACGTAGACGTATTGGTCAATCATGACAACGACGATGACAAAAGGTAGAGCGGGTCTATTTAACTTACATGATGGACAGATATGTGTAAATCGACAAGTAAGAAGTGAGGAAAAACAATATACAAGGGGAAAGTAAGTGCAGGCAAATGAGTCAGACAAATTTGCAAACTTTAAGCGTGAATTAGAATTTGGATCAGCATTCAACATCAGAAATATGCACTTCGAAAGCCCTCAGCAAGTAAACACTGTAAATTTTGGAAGCGAAAAAGTTGCAAAGTAACTGTTTACAGGTCAATGTACGTAAAGCCTGAAATTTGTTTCCATACATTGACCGAAGACAACAGAAGCTAATTGTGTAGGAAAAGAAAGCATCATCATTTACAAGAACTACGTGTTCTTCGAACTTTCCACGGTATTCTTGGGTAAAAGAAGGACAGAGAATTCAATAAAAGTTGGGGCAAGATACATACCGTTGAAGTGAGTCTTTGACTGCTTGATTACATCGCAGCTGGATATCAGATTCGCGCATTGGCAACGCGAGTCCATCTACTTCCTTCTCGGCAGCTGCTCTTAGTCCTTGGCCCAAAAGGACCAATACCTCTCTCACTCGCTGGTCATTCTCCTCCCTGCGCAAATAAATGATAGTTCGACCTTCAGAATCGGCAGTCGAACTAAAACCATCTTCCATGACTCACATGTAACGTCAGTCATAGCATCTTACACACCTGTATCGGGGTTTCATCCGAGCGATCTTTACGCCAAGCTGACCCTCGCAGGCAGGAGATGACTTCGCCAAAGGAACTCCTACACACCGCTGCTTGCAGTAGTCGATAGCCCTCCTTTCTGCAAGGTTGAACGGAATATCAGCATCTTGCCAAAGTAAGCTCCAGATTACCGGACCCACATTGTCCTGAAGATTTCGTCTGCTTCAAGAGATACAAACTGTATATTAACTCTACACGTGACATTACCTGCTGAGGTTAGAAGCTGCTCGATTTCCTCGGCTGTGAAAGCTGATGATGCCAAAGCTGAGAGCCTGGCACCACCTTCGGCAGATTCTACTTGGGCAAGAGCAATATTCACTTCCTTGCCCCTTCGTGAAGAGAGAACCTTCTCCTTATCAGGAAGAGTCTGCATGCAGAGCTGAAAATACTGCACCCCGCCTGAGAAAGCACTATCCACAACAACATCAATAAGAACATCACGTAACTTCCTGTCCGCATTCAACGGAAAGTCTTCGTTGACGTAGTGGACAAGAAGAGGAAGCACTCCTGCCAATTCTTTCCCAGAAAAATCTCCCTTTGCGGTGAGATTTCCAAATATAGTAGCTCGCAGCTGATCAACATCAGATAGATACCCTGGGTGTAAGTACGGGTAGAGCTCCTCATCAGCTGCGAGACCATCCTCTCCTACTACTTCACGTAGCAAGTTCAGGTCTGTTGGGGTTCTTAAAGTGTGGCACTTAATTCCTTGAGTGAAAAGGGTATCTAACGTTCTATCTCCTGTGTGTGCATGGGCAGCCAGATATCTCTGAAGATGGTCCATAGGAGTCTGAGATGATAGCAGGCCAATGTCGAATCCTTGCACAACCCAAGTGAGGGGTGGAAAGTCCAACGTCTTCAACAGAAGGCTTGGGTCAACATCCATTGGAGTTGACAAATGATCTGCATACCAAGAGGCCACAGTAGGTCAACAAGGCCCTAAAGTGTCGGCAATCACCATGTACACATGATGTATACAAAGGCATACTTTTGACAGTAAAAGTAGAAGCTCTCACAATTCTAGCAGCAATTCAATCGAAAACAGTCTACTTAAAAAGTTCATCCCAATAAGCATGCAGGGGCTTTGAAAAGAACAGCCACTGGTAGAAAATATCAAAGTTCTAAAAGCAATAACGTAACATTTCGTCAATTATCTACTAGTAGCCACTTGAATGAAGGTTCAACCCACCAGCGATTGCATCACCAGTGTGAAGCCAATTCTGCAAGTTAAACACCTGAGCCTGCTTGGCTAAATCTGCAAGCGCACTTACAGACTGGGCATCCCCTGCAAAAAACGAGAGAATATTTTATGAGGAGAATCCTACCCTCGGCCATAAATAGAAGGCTAGGTAATTTACTACAGATATTATAATTCTCTATCAAACTTTATTTTCACTCTAGGGCTGAATTTGTTGATACTCGTCTAAAGAGTTTAAAGTTCCTTGATCGAACACCAAATATTAGCAGATAATTAGACCGTCAGACGTGGTATACAGTTCCATTTGTTACCAGTACAACGACAATAAAATTTATACCACGTCTCACGGTCGATTTAGACGTATCAACAACAGCCCAGAAGAGTCACGAAGAATCATGATAAACAGTGAAAAAATGCTACGGCAAAGGTCGTCACGCTCGAGTATACCCAGAGTTCTTAGAGTGTTGTAGACAAGATGTGAGCTAGCGAGAGTAGCCAGAGCAAAGACTCTTGCATCGTAAGAGCGAGTGGCTCCCTCGCCGTAGAATCCCTCAGTATCAAGAAGAACGATAGTCGAACCATCAATACCCGTAACCTTATCCCTTGGTACAAAACGTATCCAGATTCCCCTTGTTTCGGGCTCTGGTGCTGCTCCCACATCGAAGCCGTGGGATGAATTCAGCAGGACGTTTAGCAGAAAGGATTTTCCCCTGTAAAATGCAAATGTTGCTCAAACGAGTTAGAATGGCAGATAGGAGGTCGGGGTAAACGTTCAAATCGCATGTCATCGTCGAAGGATTGTCAAAAACAGGTTGTAATGTAGAAGACCGCACAAAATTCTGTGCTACGGGTGCAAGTTTCGAAATAATATGTCCAACGAGTGTCAACGAGTGTGGGTCACGCGAATGAATATTCATGCAAGTTGACACCATTCATAGCTTCTAATAGGGCGATTGCTGGGCACAACACAGTCGTTACTCTAACTGCTGTTGCTGCCATGTGGAGCCAGGGGCCTAAGGACTGTAAGAGGACTGAAGGCGTTGTAGCTATTGAGCTACTCACTGAATTTTATTCTTCATGTGAACAATATACTTTTGATCATCTTCACGAGTGGGAGAAAACAAGATTCAATCCGCCGTTGACATCAGATGTCTAATCCGCGGTTTATCAAGTCAGGAGGATTCGTATCCTTTTCCCCGTAAAGTGACAATATATTCTGTTCTCCTGATCTCCTCCCTTGCCAAAATTTCAAGCACAATCGGTCCCTACATGACGAGAAGGAAATAATCTCTGAACCCTGCTAAGCTCAGATCGTGTAGGTTGACGTCCAAAAAAATAGTAAATAATTTCAAAAAAACTGCGTACTTTTAGCGCAGCTGGACAAATTACCTCTTTCTGCAACTCAGAAGAAAATTATAGAAGACCTGAACACAGTACTAGCTACACAACCGGCCCTACAAGACTGAATTGGACAAGAATTCCAATACGAGAACCAAGCCAAAAAGGTTCTCCAAAGCTGATTGATTGATTGATTTGGAAAAAGTACATCTAAAAGGGTCGGGAGGCTATTCAGAACGCTAGATGTAGCTCATTCTTTCAATTTCTTGATGTCCGAACCGTGCACATATGTCGGGCCTCAAATTACGCCTTTCAAATACAGCATTCCATTTACTTAGAAGATGTAAGAAGTAATTGAAGTTAGGAGGCAAGAACAAACCCGTGATAGGGCCCGACGACGGCTACAATTGCGAGAGGATGGTTGATAGCTGCGAGTCTTTCAACTGCTGCCACATTCAACTCGAGCCTCTCATGACCTTCGCCGGGTTTCATCAGCTGCACTGGTCTCGTGAACTCGACCTCATCCTGGAGCGTCATTCTCGAACCAGCTCCCGGGGATTCGAATTTAGAGAAACTCGCCTTGGATATGTCTTCACCAATGCCATCGACTCCGGGACCACTGGTGTCCGAGCGCGGATCCTCCAACAAAAAGCTGGCGACCTCGTCCGCAGACTGTGCGCGCACGGCGCAGGTTTGACCCACAACAGAGACAACAACGACGACGACGAGAAGAAGGAGAAATCCATCGATCGACACACGAGCCAGTCTCGCCCTCTCGGGCATCGCCACGGCCATGGTCATGTCGGCGCAACGAACTAATTGTGACCCAGATCACCACCATCACCATACCGACGAAGAAGCTCGCCCACGTCCACGCCCACGCCACTCCTCCCACACAAACAGAGGAAGCGTGAACACGAAGGGACGGGCCATGGCGTCAGAGGTATCAGAATTGCCCTTGTCCTGCTCCTCAGCGACGCAGAACCCATCACCCCATCGACGCAAACGCCATCTCCGGCTCTTCCCTCGCGGAATTCGTCGGCCCCTCTCTCCGCGAACGATCCGCCTTCCTCCCCAAGAGCAGTTCGGATTCCACTCTCTCTCTCACTCTCTTGCTGCCTCCGCCCTCGAGCTTCTCCTCAAGGGAATCCGAAATCTCAGTTCGCGCCCACCTCGCGCTCTTCTTGCTCACTCGTCACTCGTCAATCGTCAATCGTCACTCGTCGTCGCTCGGGCTCGCATGCCAATGCCAATGCCACGATCAAATTCCGCAACATTTCGCTCGCGTCTTCTTCAAAGAAAATAGCTTTCCGAGCGCGAAGCCCATTTCTTCTTGAAGACCGACTTTCGGTGGATTTCTTTCCGACAGAGCTCCCGCCATAAATGCCGCTCTTCATGTGCCAGCTTATAATAGTTCCAAATAATTATTCCAAATTAATATTGCTCTCCATTTGCTAGCTCATAAACTTTTCCACCTCACGCTGGATTCCATGTGTCGAAGGTTAAATAATGTATGATATAATAATAATAAGGTTACAATATACATATAAAATTTTCTAATATAATAATAAGGTTAAAATATAGGCAAACTAATTCCGCGTTTTAACATGTTTTATGCTTAGTACATTTCCAGACAATTTCCGTATGTAGCTTTTGTAAGGTAATCCATAGTTTATCCATCATCTAGTGTTTCATCATGCTCATGTTGCTGTACAGTACATCATTTACGTGTATACGGCAATATCAAATCTTGTCCATTGCTATTCTATGGTTGTCTGGCTCCATGTTACCCATTTTACGTGACATCTATCCTTTTGGCTTATATCTGTATTCTATGTGAACATCAAATTCTCAACACTAGAATACACCGAATCGTGCGGGTACGATGTGCAGTATCACTTTTGTACTTGACTCGTGAAGATTTACACCATGCATTTAAACGTAGGGCCACATATTCCCGGCAAGTCTAATTTTTTTTACTGAACGACTAACTTATTAGTTTCTAAATTTATATAAGGCTATTTTCAAAATTCAGATTATTAATGTTTCTTTAAAATACAATTAAATCAAATAATCTTGTTATCATTTGAAATAAATCATGCAATATTTAACCTTAATATGATATTGCAAAGCAGAGAATCGGATCACGAAGGTAACATCATAATCTAAGAGGGAGAGTATGTACATCGTATCATGTAACATGGGCCTATGCCGAGAATAAATGATTTTGGAAGTGTCGGATAAACCAAAAGTGTCAAAACAACATTCTCAACAAAGAAGACTATTCTTGTACAACAACTTGAAACTTTTCTTTCTCAAACCTCTACTCATACTATTGACCATGCATAGTTTCAAGATGATGTTTAAGACAGATGATTTCATCAACGAAAAAACACATGACCGTTGTATTAAAGTTACACATGTGTGTACATTAGTAGGGAAGCTCATGTTCATACATTGAGTTTTGTCTTCTCAAAAGTAGATATTGATACAATATCTAGACAAATCAAATAGAAATGTAGAGCAGCAATATACTCAAAACCTGAAAGACATTCGTAAAATGAAAGATTTGTTCAATGATACATATGATTCTAGAACTGTATACAAGAAATAGGTAATAAAGATTGAATAATGTACCTTGATAACCCGACAATATGAAGTTCGATAGTCAAGTAATCACATGTATGCCTACTGTGTTTCGTGAAGTCACGAAACATGTATCATCTCACAAAAAAACACACGACGTGCAATGGACAAATCTGATTCTGGAAGAATTTCAATAATTTATTAAAAAATAGAGGTACTCCTTAATAAAAATCATATTGATAGGTACAAATTACTGAATACCATACTGAACAATAAATATATATAACTAGGATAGTATATAGAAATCCCATTGAACAAACATATTTCTGACAAAACACCAACATTTTCCATTTCAAATGAAATCCATAACAAATTCACAATCACTTATGAATTCTTTCTGAGATAGTCACCTAGAAAAAAATCCATGATATAACTAGCAGTATTAATTTTATATCAAAAACATGTGTTCCCTCTTTGTAAGTATAATTTTGATTAAAAGATACAAACTCGAATCCTGATTTGTTCATTATAGAACAGATAATGAATATATAATGAATAAAATATAATAGATATAATAGGATAGAGTATATATATATATATCTCTATATATATATCTTGCTAATAATGATTTTTTATCGAAAATTTTAAATTGTCAATATATTTTGAATACAAATATTTATATTGTATTGTATTGTATTTATATATCTTGTGTGAAAAGTTAAATAGTATATAGGTAATATAAGATAATTCCAAAAAAATAAGTACACACATAAACGAGAAAGAAATCTTACAAAATTATGAAAAAAATGTTTTTGAGCGTTCATTTTGTATTTATAACCTTGTTTTACCAGCTCAAATAACATCAAATTTTTTTCACGCAAATTGTGAATATAATTACAATTCAATGCAACTATCAAACTAATCATATGCATATATAATTATGGACGCTACATGTATCCTGATCTTTAACTGAATGGATGTATGGATCTGTATAAATATTTATAGACTATAAATGATTACTATAAAGTCAATTATTTGTTAACCATTATATATACATTTTTTGTTTATTCAAGACTTGTAATTATTGTTTACTTATCTCCCAATTTGTATACAATGTATGAATAATATATATTTTTAGATGATTAATTTAAAAAACCTAATATGACTTGCTGTGTGATAAACTTATGCTCTTTTTCTCATATATTATATACCATTGCAATCAAATAAATTATAAAAAAAAACATATGCATTTGTTGTTTCAAACATAAGTATTTTATGCATTGTGGTTTTACTAACATATAGTTCCAGCTTTCATATACATACTGTTCAACAAATTTTATTTCAAGATGTAAACAAAATGTTGAAAACCTATAAAAAAATGTGTCAAGTGAAGCAATGTCAATTTATCAAATGCTAATCAAGATGTATGCATATTCTTGTATAGATAGTACTATAGTGAATACGGGATTACATAGAAGCTGAAATTCAATCATCAGTAAAATTTATTCATAATGCTTGCATTGGATTCTTTATTAATCTCACTACATTAAGATTGATCAATGAAAGTCTTAATGTACATCTAAGTTTTGCCAAATTTTGTTTTATATATAGTTATCGGATGCACTTTTGTAGCCCAAAAAACTACAGTTACAGTTCATGCAACTACAATTAGTATCCCACACACCTTTCTGCAGTGTAATGATGGTAGTTTAAGTAACAAATAAAAACTACAATAACTTAATAAATAAATAAGTAAATAATAATTGTTCAGTTTTTAATAAAAAATTCTGTATATTTTATATTGAGTAAATTATAATCAATATAAAAGAAATTTAAATACTAAATTTCTTTTGTTGAATTTCACTTACTTGGAACCATATTTTTTTAAGCTAATAAATTCGTTTGTAATTATATGAAGATTAAAGCTTACAGCAAAATGGTAAGATTTTTTACATACAATTTTTTAATTATTATGTTTATTTTAGACAACTTTTTTTTTGATTATGAATCAGATTTGAATGAAAGACTTATCAAATTATTCTCTGCGTTTTGAGATAAGCGAAAAAAAATTGTAGATGAATAAATGTCAAACTGATTGATCACCTAAATTTCAGTAACTTTTCAATAAAAGGCTAGTTTGTAATCATAGTATAAATAAATAAAAGGGAAGTTGCAACCATCTACAGTATTAGATTAGTATAATCGCTTATTGAGCTTAAGTAACATTATTGTCGTGTTACATACAATGTCAGAAACACAAGGAAAATGTTGTCTACTTCGTTCATTGCTTTTTATTTGAGGACCTTGGATGATCTTTTTGTCATTTCAAGTCAAAAAGAAAAACCCATTATTATGATATTGTATCACATAGAGCTACAACAAAAAATTCAACACATTATATGAGAATAAAATTTGTAAAATATATCTGAGTTAACTAGTAGTAAACAATTTTCCATCCTTGAGGGTTGTAATAATCCTTGAATTTAGATTATATAAGGGATTTTTGGAGTGAAAAGAACCAAAGATTATTTCTTGGTTAAGTGATATTCATTAGAAGAAAATCCTACATGTAAAGTACATGGAAACACGCCATTATGATAATCATGTGTACATAATTGGACAGAAAATTGTAATGAGTCATGTAAAGTAATAGCAAAAAGTTTAAGACGAATGTGCTAGAATATGAGTTAAGTAAAGAAGACGAACTCTTGCTAATTGGTGCTGTTAAATGAACTCTCACAGCCAATATTATCAGATTCGGCGTTTTGGCGACGTCGCGTCTACCAAGTTGGCCCCACCTTAGATCAACCAATCCAAAGCTTTCCTTATACCTCAAAAAAGGGCAGTCGCGATCATAAAGCCGCCGTGGTGAACATGGCCACTGTAGTAAGTGAGCAACCACGTCGTCGAAAGGAAGAGTGACCCACTGGTGTCTGGTTCCTCAACCGGCCTGCGGCCCCTTTCCCAAGCACGATCTCCACGAGCACGTGGCCAGGTATGGATTCAAACCGGCTAAAGCTCCATGCCGGCAAGTCGTGATAGGTCGGTCTGCAGTTCCGCCGAGACGTGGTTCCCGAGACGGTCAGTTTTGACGACGTCGCGATTTCCTGCGACGTCGTATGTACCGAAGGAAAGTAAGGGTTGGATTCACGACTGCCCGAAGCAGAACCCTAAAGCCCTTATCGGTGACATTGCAGGCGCGAAGCCATCGAAGAATTGCGTCTTTCTCTCGATACATCGAGAGTGACGGGAAGCGTAGGAAGGCAAGCGAAGGTGATTGAGGTGTCCGGGGGCAGGCTGTTGAATCGAAGTCTGTAGTTGGAATCTTAGGAATTGTTGGATTCTCTTTCTCCAGTGAAGATTGGTGCGGAAGAAATCTAGGAACAGGTTAAAGAATGGCGGGCGGGAACACGGTGCTTCATCTGCCTTCGGGTCCTACGGGCCTCGTTGGAAAGCTTCATCCGACGGTTTTGTTCAACATCTGCGATTCCTACATTCGCCGAAACGATCAACAGGAGCGTGTGATTGGAACCCTACTCGGCTCAGTTTCAGCCGATGGCACCGTGGACATTCGAAACTCGTATGCTGTTCCTCACAATGAATCTTCAGATCAGGTTTTGTCTCCATCTCTTTGTATCCTGGACGGTACTGGATGATCTTGGGGTCTGACAGGGCAAGTACCCTCAGATTTTGCAACTTAAAAATAACTTTCAATCGTTCGTAGCCAGTTTTATTCCATCCAACTTCCTCTGCCACCTTTGGTGGCAGCTCAATCTTCACATTATGAGCTGGAACATGATCTACACGTCGTGGTTGTATTCAGGTTGCGGTGGATATTGACTACCACCGAACCATGTTCGACCTACACCAGCGCGTTAGTCCCAAGGAAGTAATCATCGGATGGTAATTCTCTTCATTTTTCCATGAACACGTAGATGCAGTCCCACATCGATCTCTCAGATTATCTACATCAGTCCTTGGCACTGAATATATGGACAAAATTCCGAGGCCCTAAAACTTGTGGAGCGTTCTTTATTCGCTTCTCAGTTTACAGCTGATGTTTATGCTTCATTTGATCCTTTTTCTGCGTGTAGACAGTGTTACGATTTACCTGAAAGGATATTTTGATATTTGTATCACTATTGTGAATGCCTTGAGTTGTCGCCATAGTTCTGTATGTGTCAACGACAAGCAATGCTGCGATGATTCAACGGCAGTAGTGACGATATATCTCAACTTATACTGCTGATTGCTCTCTGGTTCCGACTGCCCTAAAAGTCAAGCTATACTATGGAATAATTAATCATCGTTCGATTTTGTATGTCTGGCAGGTACTCCACTGGAGCAGGAGTGAGTGGTAGCGATGCCCTCATCCAAGAGTTCTATGGGCGGGGGGAAGTAACGAACCCCGTTCACCTTACCGTGGATACCTCTTTTGCGGATGAGCGGACTAGCATCAAAGCATACGTCTCAACCAATCTGACCCTTGGAGATCGTCAGCTCGCAGCTCAATTTCACGAGATTCAACTGGATTTGCGTATGATCGAGGCTGAGAGAATCGGATGTACGTCTTGAGTTCCTGCACATATTGAAAAAGCACAATCTTGGAAGGCTGCTTTTGTTTCGGAGTCCGATATGACAAGCTCAATTCACATTATCCATACATCTGAAAGTAGTGCTGTCATAATCGTACTAGATGAAGTGCTCTAAGCGCGGGATAAGTTTTTTGATTCTATGTGCCTGTCTTCCATGAATCCCAGTTGATGTCTTGAAAAAGACTATGGTAGACAAGCTACCAAACGATTTGGAAGGGTTGGAGGGAACCATCGAGAGGCTGCACATAATGATCGAGACCGTCTTCAGATACGTAGACGATGTTGTGGTATGTGCCGTCCAGTTCATTTTTTGTTGTCGCGGACGAGCACAATTGCCTCTATATTTCAGAGGGATGTGAAGACTTCAAAGTGTGTCTTTTAACAGTTGTCAGTTTTCTTTCACACGGTTGTGTCACAGGAGGGCCGAGTTGCACCTGACAACACAATAGGAAGATATTTGGCCGACACAATGGCCGCAGTTCCAAGGGTTGCACCAGATGCGTTCGATAAACTATTCAATGACGGTGTCCAGGTTCGTGTTCACTCAACTTCATCCTATTCTACCTTTTGTCGGTTTCACTCTTATGTCATCATCTTTTCCGGAGGTGTCGTCCTCTACAGCATTAGTGCAATGTAAACCTTTTATGCAGGAAGCTTATGATTTATCGTAAAATGGATGGTTTATGAATGTTGCCAACGTTTTTCTCGGTTCATGTATTTTTCAGGACGTTCTGCTGGTATTATACCTGGCCAACTTAACGAGGACACAGTTAACACTTGCTGAAAAGCTCAACACTGCTGCTCAAATAGTATAAGCGGCAAAAAGAGTAGACATTACCGGGCAGTCTCAAATGATTCATTGCTTCAGGTGTAACTCCTACCTGGCTGTTCCCAGTCTCGTCAAATATCAAGTCCTCAGACAGTCAAATATATAAGTCCCCCTTGTTTGGGGATGTCTCTTTTTCCAGATGGAGTTTCTGTTTGTTGGGCAGGTTGTGCCGGAAGAGTTTTAATTAGTATACGGCTGAAGACCGAGTGCGATGATGTAGTTCAGAGAGAAAGTTCACAGAGTTGAATGTATTTTTAAGTTGGAAAACTCCTTCAGTAACGATTCGTATTCGATCATCTACTCACTTCTCTGGGGGCTGGAAGAGGATTAGTCGGTGTTATGGTACAAGGGGTTGAATGAGCTGTTCTTGGTGATGCGGGGTAGTAACTTTAGGCCACGCTGTTTTGAATACTTCTGCAGGTATTCTTCATGGTAGGAGTTGTTAGACTGGCTTATGTAAATCGTCGTGTAGGTAGTCAAGTCCGGGTTTCCAGATTGGATGGGATCTACTACTTTTGCCATATCAAATCCTGTTTCAAGTGTTTGACTGCGACAAATCGAAGCCTTCGGTGCAGTTAGGTGTTATTATGCCGAATTGAAGTTGCTGGAAATGAGGAGTACCTGAAGGTATTAGTTATGTTAGGTAATCGAGTGCATGCCACAAAAATGGTCAGATCAACATCTGACCATCTTTTCTTATGTCATGTTTGGCTGATGGGGATTCTAATCGCTGGTTTTCGGCTGCTCGATCCGATCTGTGGTACAGAGTTGAGCTATTCAGATATAAGATGCGATTGGTTCTGGCATGAATTTGACATTTGCTGTATTTCACATATTGCTCTTAAATCTCACGGATCCGATATTTTCCAAAGAATGACGCCTTTTCGTTTCAACGTATCTGTTTTCCGCTGTGAAGTATGTTCAGGAGATTTCAAAGCGCAATCGATGCTACTTGTGGACGGAACAATTTTCGATCTTTTTGGTAGAACAGGACTCACTGCCAGCATATTAGTCAGTCACATAGCAAATCTAGGAAGTGCTACAACTAGTGCGTACTACAACATTCATGAACATTATACCAGTGTTACTACACCTTCCCATCCTCTTCAACAACCAAGTTCTGTATCCTGTGACATGCAGTTTGATGTTACGTGACCTTATATTCACGTTGAATTCCGACGTTCAGTCGATGCCAATGCATACAACACCTCGAGCGAGTTACAGGTGTGAAATGCGATAAATTCCTAACCAAGGAAGTATTGTGAAAAAGGTAATAGTGGTCACTTACATTCAAGAAGTATCTACTATGAGGGCGTCAAATTACCAATTTTAGAACCAATACACCATCTTGACAGATGTTGGTTGCCAGGTGATTTTAATAATTTAAATGTATCCAAGATACGAAACAGAGTATAGTGAAGTGTTTTAAAAGGAAGAAAGAATGGTAGAATTTTTTACTCTACAAGTATGAAGAAGCTAATAAAATCTGTAGCTTTTGCAAACATTAAGGTGAAAACTGAATATATGTCCCACTCCGCTTCATGCACATATAACATAGTTACCATAAGTCTTAGCGTCCTAGTGACCTAAAACTGCAATGATGATTTACTAGTATATACAAAACAATTCTGTTTTACATGTTGCTACAGAAAAATACAATATTTCTTGCCTTTACTTCCTGCCATAAGTACGATTTTTTTTAATTTACACGATATTGAACAGTTTACTTTTCTAAGGTGGTTTAGATGTAGAATATGATTTTAATTTTTTGAAGTAAAAATGATAAGCTATTTTCTACTTTCATATGTTCCACTCCTGAGCGTTTTCCTTTCTTCATGTGCTCGATTGCTACGCATATTCCCATTTTATTTCTATCTTCCGCATGGTGCTAGTGTAGGACATAAGATCATTTTTAGTGCTATACAATAGTGCAGGATTTAATATTCTTATTTGCAGTTTAGAAGTTACCAACGCCTCATACTCGCTTTCTTCCTCCTCTGCAGTTTACTTGCTAGCATTGTAAAAGTTGCAAAAGAAGATTCACATTTCTTTTCTTCAGATGCACAAGTTGGACGATGTCTTATATTTTCCAGAGCTTCTGATGTTTTATTTACCTTCGAAGCTTCTGGTCTCAATCATATCCTCACTGTGTGTCTAGTCACTAGCATCATGGTATGGTATTCAATCAATGGTAGTCATGGACGCCTTGCGATACTGAAGTTGTGAAATGAAGATCACGACATACGCTCTTTAATCAAAATCATTTACCTACACAAAAGTTGGATGGAGAGAACAGTATCAATGCTCCTACGGTTCGACAACCTGACCGACCGTATGGCAAGCCTAAACCCCCACCTCCTAATGCTGGCAGGAAATACCCGAATGCTACCGTCTCTAGACTGGTGGAAGAATGAGGCTTGATGCTCTCCAAATTATATTTCACATTTCCCGTCCCTGATAGTCATTATAAATTACAAATTTTCAAAAGGAAAACGCCGACCGAATGGGGTAAAAAAGCTCTGCATCAGGTGCTCACGGAGATCTGGCTCAAAATTAACGCCTGCTCTACTTTACATTCACTAATTCTACGTCGAACTCCAGAGTAGCGTTTCCTGGAATGGTTCCGCCCACGCCCTTCGCTCCATAGCCCATGGCTGGGGGGATGACCAACTTTCTCTTGTCACCGATTCTCATCCCTGCATCGAGAAGAACGAATGTCAATAACATCGATGATGAGGAAGGGAGAACGAGCCAGCCTCGTGATGACGGATAGGAAGAAAGTTAAAGAGCACGAAAACGACACAAATGCATTCATTGATCGCGAGACGAATCATGGCGATGGTGGCTTACCGTTCACACCGACATCCCAACCCTTAATGACTTCTCCAACTCCTGCGACAAACAAAGAAAGAAGCGTGTGAGAGTCAAATGACATTAGGACGCGTGTGGACAGCAAACGATCGACTGCAAGCCAATCGAAACTCCAATCAAAACAAAACCCTCAAGGTTCCAGGCTGCCCGTGACAGTCAGTCTGTCCGCTCACCGAGTCTGAACTCAAAAGGCTTCTTTCCCACGTTGGAGTCGAACACCTTGCCATTAGACTTGAGCCTTCCTGTGTAAATCATGCCGACCTGAAATGTCCACAAATCATCCACACAAATCACGATCAGAAGCGGAGCGAGCTGCACAAGTCACAGCGACAGAACCAAATCACAGCAACAAGTCAACTCGAACTCGAACTTGCACAATCGACAACACACAGACTCCGTGACAAGTCTTCGAGACACGAACAGCACGGAAGGCGTCATGCACATTCCACAGATGATCGGCCTACCCTCTTTCCCGGTTTCGCCTGCTTGGCGTCGGGCTTTCCGATGGCAACATCCTGAATTTCGAGACCATTTGGGAACTTCTTCACGGCTGGGCTACCTTTCTTAGCACTCTTAGCTGCGGCAGGAGTGGATCCATTGGTGGCAGGGGCGGGGGTCTTGGCCCCAGGAGTCTTCTCGGCGCCATTCTCCTTCGCCTTCTCCTTCTTCCCGGGCTTCTCTGCAGTCTTGGCAGGCTCGGGGGTCGTAGCAGCAGCAGCCGCAGGGGCCGCAGCGCCCGGAGTCTGCGCATCCTTGTTCTTATTCTTCTTGTTCTTCTTCTTCTTCCCGGCCGACTCGGGGGTGGCAGCGCCGGGTGTCGTGGTCACAGACGCAGCAGGAGCAGGTGTTCCATCGGCCCTGATTGGAAGAAAATCGCACGAAATCGTCGTCAGAAACGACGAACCGAGCACGACGTCAACTGCTCTTAAGAGAATTCATGAAATTCTTTGGGTTCACAAATCGAAAGCGCACCCCTTGATGGCTTGCTTCTTGTTCGGCGCATTCTTAGGAAAGCCATCTTCATCCTCGCTGTCGACTGTTGCCTTTGCTGGTGTTTCGACCTTCTTGGCATCGCCTGCAGGAGTCTTCGGCTTGGCAGTAGGGGCGTTTCCGAGGGCCTCCATCTTCTTCCTCTTCTTTTGAGCGCTCTTCGACTCCGGCTTCGATTCATCGTCCTTGCCCTTGATGAGCTTCAGGGGAGCTGGCGATGGAGTCTCTTCGTCAATTTCCACAATTTTCACTGCTAGAGACAAACCTTCTTCAGTACAGCGAGGTAAAGTAGGACAGAAAATAACATGGTGCTATGTGTAATGAGTTCCTGTCAGCTGAGTAAGCACAAGTACAGATCACGATAATTACTTGGTGTGGGAAAGTGATGGGAACAAATGTGGGGAAGTGGCCGAAAGAAATCCCGTCATACTAAATGTACGTACCACTGGAAGGAACTCTCTCGTCGTCTTCCATTTCGCTGTCCATTTCCTCGTCGGAGTCCTCGTCCGAGTCCTCCTCTGACATTCCCTCGGAATCGTAGTCGTCATCATCTTCCTCGTCTTCCAAAGGCATGTAGTATCCAATAAGGTGGACACTGGCGGATCCGACCACCGAGAAGGTGACATCCTGGTCGAACAGAAGGTCCAGAGAGCACGACTCTGAGACGCCGGGAATCAATGAGCACAGTAGGAGCTCAGGTCCATCTCCGACTTTGCACTTCACGACGGCCCGCTCCTTAGACTTTCCTTCTAGCCCGAGAGTGGCCTGCAAACGACGACGTGAATGATAAGTTCAGGGCCATCTCCGCATTCGGGAGCACAAATTGCACGAAGTCTAGTTCGATGAACACCATAACATTCCTGAACATCTGACGATGCAAGCAAGTGAGGAGGTTACTCGAGATGACAAACATGTACGAGCCTTTCACTGAGACAAATCATATTGTTTTAATACTAGGCTGGTTTGCGCCACCATACTTCGAATATGATGCCCACAGGCTCGTGGCATCAATCCGATCTTCCAGACTAGGTAGAAATGAGAGCACGGACAACAAACCTGCGAGAGGTGCAGCGTGCTGCCATCGAAAAGCTCATCCTCACTTGGAGAGTGCGTGTGAGGTTTACCAGGCTTGACCTCCACTCCTGCACAACAGTCACCACATCCCGACGGATCAGCCTTGTACGTGAAAGGGGCACCAGGTTTCACCTGCACTCCTGCAGGGAAACAACCTCTCAGTCTACAGCCGCCACAGATGCACATCGAGCATTCCCATGACAAAACAATGCTACTTCATAGCCCAGGGCCACGATAGACAAATCATCAGACTGATCCTGAGAAAAAGGAGCGATGTCCTAAACAAGTTGCGACCCTTTTGCCGCATCGCTCCCGACAGCTCGAATTGGAACCTGTCCCTGTGTGATCTACTCCTTGTCCACAGACGCTACTGACTATTCCCTCAGATTACTACGACATTTCACAGCAGTGGTAGACGAAGACAAGCCCCAACTACAGTCCACTCGAGGGAATTCCTGGCGACCGAACAGGACAACACAGAACTCTGTATACACTCCTCACACAGTCACCTATCGGCACGACTGCTGTCAGTGCAGACTATTAAAGGTTTCCACTGCAGATTCGATGATTGACAACGTGGCCATCGCCATCGGCGACAGACCTAGGCGGTGACATTTGGACCTCGGCTACTGGTGTAATTGAAAAACTCGAAACGCTATCTGCTTGCACCGGTTCGAACAAATTGACGTGACAAGAGAAAAGGATGGATTTCTTGGAAAAGGTAGAAGCGAAGCTGAAGAAATTCATGCCCGCCCGAGAGCAGAAAGAGGCGGACACGATGGACTACAGTACAGGTTCTCTACTTCATGACGAAGCTCGCGAGGCCACTCTCTCGCTGCCCTATCTATCGCTCTAGATGCACAACAGTCGGTCCCACGGCATCGAGAATCGTACCCCAAAACACCATCGTCGTCGCTGCGCAACTACAACACGAGCGAGCTTCTCCCGGGCTTCGACGGGGATGGCCTCCCACAGAGGATCAAGCGAAGAAACAGAAACGGAACCGGAGTGCGAAGAAGGAAGTCGAGCTGACGAGCCGAGAGTTTAAGCAGCACCGATCCCGGGCACTCGGCAGCTGCTGCTGCTGCTGGTGATGGAAATCGAGGCCAGAGATATGGAGCGCTGGCGGCGCTCGAGGATTTCCAGGGGCCCGCTGACAGTGATTCGGGGGGACGAGGCACCGGCCGGGGGGGCTAGGGTTTGGGCAAAGGGCTTCCGGAAAGCTCCAGATGAGGAGACGATGGGGCGTTAGGGTTTAAGCTCCACGTCGGCAGCTCAACCGAAACCGGACTCCTCCAACGGTCCCCTATTCTGTCGTATAGAAGTGGGTCCTACTCGACTCCTGTCAGTGACCATATGGCGCCTGCCGAATCTGCCCGGCAGCCTGACCCCGGTTCCCGGTCGCGACGGAGTTCATTTCCTAGTTACTTCACTAAGTATGATTAGAGTCGAATTATCCTTCGGCAATCATAAACAAAATGGTGCAATTACTCAGATGAGCTCCAAAGGATCATTTCATTTCAGTTGGAGCTTCCGCAGATTAATTACTGCGAGCCATGACACCAATGGAGTTTCGGCGAGGCTGAAGCATTTCAGAGGCAAATCATTTGATTTCAGTTTGGAGCTTCCGCAGATTTATTACTGCTCGCGATTACGCTAATGGAGTTTCGGCGGGGCGGAAGCACTTCAGAGACAAATCATTTCATTTCATTTCAGTTGGAGATTCCGCAAAATAATTACTGCTCGCGATTACGCTAATGGAGAAGCACGTAAGGCTGGGAAACTAAAGGACATGCTGACGAACGCATCATGGCGTGACGACAATATGAAGCCATCGTCTTGCAGTTCGAAGACGTGTCTGCCTGCGTGGCATCTGATTGATTCTGCTCGTTGCTGGTCTGAGAGAATTTTACGATTCGGAGGTTTGAGGCTGAGGGTTTCCCATCGATCGTCAGAACTGAGAGGAGAGGAGAGGAGAGGAGAGTGAGCTCGTAATGTCGGACCTCAGTCTGATTCTGCCCAAGCGCGGCAGAGAAACGTCAAGTCTTATCGATGAACGACCGACACGAAGAAAATCACTGGAGGACGAGGAACGTGGACAGATAGAAATCTCCGGCCGGAATCTCATGGACTCATGATTTGTGAGTTACACTCGAATGGTGTACCAGTGCTTGGGAAGTGAATCCAAGGTCATGGACGTGGCCTGCAGACAGGGAAGGTCAATCAGCCAGCCGCATTCTGAGCCCATGCAGCAGCGTCGTTCATCTTCAGTGCCCGAATGGCTCCTGGCATTCCGCCGAGGCACATTCTGGAAAGCATGGCCTGAGAGCGTTTTACTGAATGGAACTCATTCCTGTCCAGATGACCTCATAATTCTCGTGCGTCGATTGGGCTGGTCCGAATTGCCTCCTCCGTCCTGCGCACGTACGATGGAAATTTCTGTCATCGGATAGCGCCGACGCCGAGCACACACTTTATAAGAGATGCTCTGGGAAACCAGAAGCCGGGAGTCCCTTGGAGGGAGTTGCTCGCTCGGCATCGGGACGTGTTTCGAATGGGGGGCCTCCAAACCTGGTGAGATGATGGATGGATGGTCCATGGATTCCTACATCGTCTGTTTTCTAGCGCAGCTGGACCAGAGCTCAGAACTTGTACGTGAAAGTTGGTCGCAATGCCTCAATAGTCAAATCGAGCTCCACGGGTGATACGCAGCAGCTCCGAGATGCATCGAGCAGGCTAGTCTGAGAATCTTCTCGAGACATTCGGGTCAAAAGGGGCTCAGTCGTAGCATTGCCATTGACTGAGTCAGTCCGTGGCATTTCGATCCTGCTCGTGCGGATTCCCCTGCACCGCCACCTGCGTTCGGCTCGCAATTTTCTGGTCCGGTTCTCGTCACGTCCGTGAACGAACCCGTCAGGATCTCTCAATCCCGTCCCGACACGCGAAGAATCAATTCTTTGCTTCTCCCCGAGGTCTGAGTACAGCTGAGCTGCCACTCTGAGCCTCAGCGGCGTCACAGAGACTTCCAGAGACTTCCGCTGCCAGAGGTCGAGCAGAAGATTACAGCTGTAACCTTCTGTAACTTCATCTGTAGGCTCTGATTCCCGAGCACACCGACGCTGCTGTCTTGTAAAGCAGCATCGGGTTGTGACAATGACTTCCTAGCCTCCCTCTCCTGCCTCAAACTAACAAAATTGGGTTCTTTTGCTAACTGGAATGATCTATTCTTCTGATACCAGCCACGGTGGAGTTTTGCAAATTAAGGGCAATTGGCATTTCTGGTTCAGGTCGAGCAGCTGAATTCGAGAATTGCAGATGGACGACATAAGTAGTCACCTGCATCAGGTATCGATACAATGCGATGGCTAAAGAGAGGCAGTTTTCAATGTTGAGCATCGGGATCTGGTTGCACGGCATGCTGTAATGAAGGTGATCGATCGATCGATCGCTCGCACGCACGCAGTTTTGGGTTGGGACAGTTTTGATTGCTTTGTACTTGTATTTGGTGTTTGTTGACTTCTGCTGTTCCAGGAGTCATTCAGAGTTGAACCTTGCAAATCTGATGACGATGAGCAGGTTATGAATGGTTACGACTTCGCACCTAGCACAGCTGCCCCTTCTTCCAGTTGGGTTCTCCCGAATCTGATGGTGCAAGTTGGAAGGGAAGGCCTCGGTGCTTTCCCCGGTATCGTCCGCGAGGTTATGCTTGTGAGTGTCGTCTTTTGCAAACACTGTCTGTCTATATTTTTACATTCGTGACGACATGTGCGTCGACCACGATTGATGCAAATTGAAACTCCTGAAAGTGGATTCTGGAGCTGATTTAATCTGTGACAGATTCAAAGTTGGAGTTGAGTGTGAAGCGTGTGAGATGTTCAGTACTCAATTGCTATGGTCGATGTCTGTGCGTCTTGCCTTTCGTTCGAAGTGATTTCGTAGTGAGTCCTGAGTACCGGGGCAGCAGAGATCCACAGAATCGTGTCAGACGGTCAATGAGGTGGACATTGGCCGGTAACACAGGAAGGGACGTGCCTAGTCGCTCTTGCGGAGTCCACTCGAGGTGAACACGTGATGGCCAGTGAATCAGACCTGACGATGATCGAGCCAGATGTATCAGATGACGTGAAGATCGTGTCTGGCGCGTATAGACATAAGACTGGAAAGCTCGTCGAGAAAGTCGGCTCGCAAGGACTCGTTCTACTTGCTGATGGATTCGGATTGAGGTACATTGACATGAAGTCCATCGGCAAGCTAGAGTTCGTAAGTCATACGTTTATCTCGGAGTACGAATCCTCGACCGACGAGAAATATGCTGCGCAACGAGAGGGTGGGCACGTGCGCGGCAGCAATGTCGGCAGACGAAAACAAGGTGAACATACATACAATGACGATAATGATGCTGATGATGCTGACTCAAACGAGCGTAGACAAGATGTTGAGCCAACCAGGAGTGAGGAAGATCATCAACTGAAGGTTCATATTGATGTGCATGAAGAAGACGAGAGAGATAATGAACCAAGCAGGATTGAAGATGATCAACAAGATAGCACTGCTGATGCTGCCACAGAAGATCATAAGGAAGCTTTTGTGTCAGCCACAGCTGAAGAGGAACAATTACGTAAGGTTGATGTCGATGTGCCTGAAGAAGAACGTAGATCAGATCATGAGACAGCCACCATGGAAGAAGATTATCAAGCTAAAATTGATGTTCACGTGCCGGAAGAACACAGCAGAGATAACGATAAATCAACCAAGATTGGAGATGAGCAACGAGGTAGAATTGCTGATGATGCGCCGACAGAAGATAGCAGAAATAAAGAACCGACAAAGAACGAAAATGATGAACCAGATAAAACTGAAGAAGGTAAACATGATGCGGAGTTGCCAGAGCAAGCAGATGTTCTGATTATCGGTATCGTTGACGCAATCAACAATCAGGAATGTGTTTGTTTCACAGACGAAACTTGAAGTTACTGAATTGAGAAGAGCACGGGCATGCTTTACAATTCACTGAGTTTGAAGATTAAGATCCAGGACAGTCAGCGGTCAGGAGTGGCACTAATGCGCCGCAGTAAACCTTGAGTTATAAAGTTCAGAAAGGGGCACATTGAGCTGTATAAGAAATCTCAGAGAACGAAATGAATCTAGCTCGTCTTAGACATAGGATAAGGTTTTGAAGTCTTTGAATGTGAGGACTGAAGTTTGCCCACTGCCTGCTTTAAAATGAAGAGTAACCTGATTAATGAAGCTGGTTTGAAGCAGACCTTCGGTCTGACATCTAATGCATTCTATGTGGTCAGGATGCTGTTACGTATAATTGAAATTCGCAGATACTTGCCTTCGGATAATATATCAGTGCTAAATTCTGGTCTGTTCAGAGTCCCGATGTCATGCTGTATCCGAACTATAAAGCCTTCTATCACAACTCAATCTGTGAATTTTAACTTCTACAGCAACTTGATACCAAATTTTCGTTTTGCAAGTCAAGAGTTGAGAACCTTGAGTTCTCTTCTACGATTGAAATTCAGGTGATTGCTTTCTATGCAACAAATGCATGCTTCAGGTTTCAAGAGGATGTTCATATGTGTGTGTATATTTACATATATACGAGAGATGTGTTATTTTCGAAGATATATTTGGTGCATTGGATGGGTTCGGTTGTCATTTGAAGTCTCCGATATACTTATTACATTATGTATCGTGACGGCAAAGGGACAACCGAGGAGATTGAGGACTCGTCTCATTTTGCTGACGCGTGGAAGGAATCAATTCCCTTCACAAGGATTGATCCACCTGAAAACAAGAGTAATGATTTTTCGTATGCTGATTACCACCAGATGGTGCATGCGGGTTCAAGAGCCTACTCCGAAATCACTGGCGGAGGGTCCAAAGCTGGAAGAGGGTCCACAGTTACGACCTTTGCAGGGGAAGAAAGAAGCAAAATTGAAGGCCACCGCTATGATTACGATCAAGACAGCTTATATCCTCATCTCCAGTCCGTCAGAAAAAAAATTTTGATGACCTTGTAATGAATTGCACTGTAATATAGGACATTAACCTTCGACGGCTTCAGTTTTCCTTTTGCAGATTTGTACAGTGGACTGTAATCGTAATTGTGGGGAATCACGAGAAAGGAGGACGTTTTGGATGACGTTCCATTCGTGCTGAGTTTAGTGAAGGCACATGCACAGCAGGAATTACGTGCGTTGCTTGGCAACATCTTGTTATTCGATTAAATTGCTTTCTGTGCGGTTTGATGAGTTAAGAATTCAAGCACATTGCTTGTGGCTCCTAAGACTGTGAATTAGGTGCGAAGTGGATCTTCTTTTGTCACCTCATGTATAGTAGTAGTTGAGGGATAATCAGGTCACCTATCGATTTCGGATCGTAGATCGAGTGTTGGCTCTGGAATCCAATAATAAATATCTGCACCGTTGGGAAATCTGATCCACTCAAATTTTTCCAAGTCCAATCATGCATTTATCTTTTGCATGTACCAAGATTTCTCGTCCAGTTCTTTCATAGATGTATGAGATTTCTCGCTGTCCCAACCTTCTCGCCCTCGAATGCCTGCACGCCCAGCGATTAGCCTCTCATTTGAAGGACTTTGACCGCACCAAGTCCGCGAGCTAATCTTAGAAGCAAAAGAGACTCATATTTCCAGGTACAATTGTCTTATGCAGAAAAAAAATGCTCTGATGGTCACGTTGTGGAAGAGGCACACGACATTCTATGGAGCCATTGATTCTGGGAAGAGTCAGCGTTCCAATCGTCAGTCTATGACTCACAGGACAGCTTCCAAATGCCAGAAGGTTTTGCTCAGCAACGTTTGCCCTTCATGGTAAAGGTGCGGTGACGTACTCTTATCCCCTTTCAGTTATTACAAGGGGTATCAAAAAATATCCCAAGTATGGGAAGAACCCATTCAGTACTGTACTGTATTATGAAACAAATATCAGTATACTGATATTTGTTTCATATTAGTATACTGTTAATTTCAGTATACTAATAAACACTATTTCATTATTCTATATTACAATACTTGTATATTCTAAATATTATACAACAGGGTGAAGACATATATATCGGTGTCTCATATGTAATATTACATGCAAATGGTCATCCATAACTCCAAAGGTTGAGTAACTCGTACATGAAATCTTTATGTATGTTACTATTTGGAAAATTTTCCTTGGTCCTATTCCAATTGCGATGATCACTGTGATTCGTATATACATATTATAAACGAATAACAATGATCTTGTACAGTATTCAAGATGTAAGAATGAAATTAGTTAGTATTATAAATCGATTATATGAAAACAATCTAGTATAGAATTCTTCACCGTAAACTATGGAAGATACCAAAATTTTATTGCAGAAATGTAACTCATGGTTACGGTATGGATGGACGAACATATATTGAAAATCTTATATAAAAGAAATATGGAATCTTGTATGCCAGAATGTTCTTTCTAGGTTTCCATCAAAGGCTAGAAAAGTGTCACGCCAGGTCCTCGTGCGCTTTCGTGCAACTTCAAGTGGCAAGGTCGTCGGCATGGGAACAAGCTGTGACATCTTTCGTCCTTCAGAAATCACTCCATCGCTTCCTTCGTTTTGGAGTGATTTGGAGTGATTTCTGAATAGGCCCGTGACAGAAACTTACTTCACGACGAAGCGTTGCATCTTCATCTCCATCGTCATGCCGAAACTGTGAACAATGCTGCCAGAACGTCGTCCGAGTTATGCCCACTACATCCACGTGAGGCTCGCACACTTGGCTGCACTGCAGAGACGCAATCCAGTGTTTTCCTCCACCTCCACAATCGAAGACGCACGCCATGATCGATCACGTACCAATTCGTTTCCTTTTCCAAGAAATCATCTTCTCCCAAAGTTTGTATCTCGAGAGGAGGAGAGATGTGGGGTGCCATGGAAGAAGTGGAGCACTGACCTGAAATGACGTGCGTTTTCCGTCTGGCATAACAGTGGACCGCAAAGCACGAGGCTAAGAATTTGACATAGGTTACGCATAATCTAATCTAATCGATTAGATTTATCGTACCCCACACCGGCGAATCGGAATATTCTAACGGTGAGCTTATCTATGGCTCACTCGCTGCTGCTGCTGCAGTGACAGTGTCGACCTCATGGTTCACAATCCTCGGGCACTCGGTTTGGTACATGTGGAAGCAGTAGCGCGGCCGGGGCCGATCGGAGCAGTTACCACCCGATTTTATACGATTTGTATAATGATGTCGAGGCATTGCGCATGGCCTTTCGCCGGGCGGAGCACTAGTGTGACCGTAGCCAGGCAGGAACCGCGAATCGGTTCCCTTCCATGACATGAATGTAATAAACATGTCGACTCCATCTTGGTCATTGACGTCATGGTGACGAGGGACGCAGCACCGCGTTTGGTCTACAGCAAATCAGACATCGAAAGGGGCCGGGTTTCCTAAAAGCGAGCAATTAGGCTGATCCGCACGAGAGCTATGATTGAGCTATCTCGGACCAATACGCAGATCAATGTCCTTTTCTGAGAAAGCGGATCTCTAGATCTTTCTAGACCCGCCCGCGTGAAGCAAGAGTGTCGAAGGACTCACTTACTCACTGACGGGCTCAGCTCCCACACTCGCACTCGGATACGCGTGGAGATTTCAGCGCTGTCTGTCTTCGCCCTTCCTTGGAGAGACGATCGATCGATCGATCGATAGAGGCGCAGGGGCAGTATGAATATGCATGCCGTGCTTGAGGTGGTGGCGTTTTTTGTCCGCGTGATGCGCTCCGTGCTTAATCTGGATCTCAATCTCAATCTTCTGCGTTGCGCAAGCGCCACGGCTCTGCTGCCGGCAGCGTACGCCTCGACTCTCTCGGTCCCGATCTTGCATTTGTAAGGAGGCTGCTGCCCTCGGCCTACTAACATCACCATCACCATCACCGCCGCAACGAGTGCGACATCATGAAGCTCGGTACGTGCATTCGTCATCTCCTCCTCTTCCCGTCAGTCAGGCAATTCCTCCTTGAAATCGATTGCTGTCCATTAGATATGGCTGCTTCTGCTCACGGTTCGGCAATTTCCCACCTCGCGCAAGACTTGAGAGTATTATTGGATTGAACATGGTGTGCATGCATTAAATTTGGGAGCTTCCTCGTTGGATAATAATCTCTGTAGTAATCTTTGTCCATTGAGCTTCAGACCTTGACGATTGATTGGCATATATTGAGAGCGCTCAAAAGAGCGCCACTGGCGAGAAGAGTAAAGTCGCTTATTTTAGGAACTGCTGTGGTTGTGCTTTGATCGATCAGGCTTGCAGATACTGTAATATCGGACGAGCAGAATTGCGGAAAGTTCCGATCATTCAATCTCGAACGCCTGGAGCTTTTCCTCGTGCGGAGACTTCGATGTCGATTCTTCGCAGTTCCCATCACTTGCCAGGGTCTGTACATACGTCATAGAACTTCTCGTGTCGCAGTTAGTCAGTCAGTGGCTCGGCATCTTCTCTTGACAATAGTCAGACATTAAGAGCACTAGAACTGTAAGCAGCGGCAAGCTGCTGACAGTCAGTCAGTCAATAAGTTGAGACGGGCCCAAACCTGTAGCATCTTTTGCTCAATCACAGTTCGTTTCACCGTGAATAAATATGTCACTCATCTGCGCCTCGGCCTTCCGGGTACCACGCTGCGTGCGAGTGCATAAATACCTTCCAATAATTTGGTGCAAGTCTGCAACATACATTCCTTCGTGAGGAGATCATCCAGAAGAAAACTACGGAATTCGATTTTTATTATTATTCATTCAATTTCAACGAGCACTGATGGGAGTGAATTCTCCGAAGGGAATGAATTCCCGTGACTTCAGTGGCATCGATGCTTCCCGCTGCACGCATGGGTTATCGAAAGTCCACTGTCGCAGACCGAATTGGATCCGATCGTTCGGATCCAATTCGTGTCAACGGAGCGGATAAAGATTGGACATTGCGCTTTCTGCAGAAACCAGTAGGTGCGCCGAAGAATTTCTCGACCGCGAGCAAGGCGAGGCGAGGCGGGCTCGACATCGCCGAGCAACGCGTGGTGCGATTTGCTCTGCGGCCCCCCGGAGTCGAGAGTCGGTGACGACCCGAGGGTCCGACGGCTGAGACGACGGACCGCCGGTCGCGGAACGTACGGCGGAGAGAGACTGCACGCCGCAGTTATGGATGGCACAGATTTCTCACGAGGGCCCCCGGTGTCCCTGGTCGCCGCCTGGCCACCACAATTCGTCCACCGGCCCCAGCCGGCGAACGCCATCCACGGAAGACCGAAGGCCGACTCCGAGTGGATGTGGAGCCGCAAAGTGACGTGGACGGGACTTCGGCGTCCACCGGGAGAGCAAGGTGACCTCGTCGTGCGTCGCCAATTTTCCCACTTTAGATGTTGAAATGAGAGCAAGGATACCAGGAATAGAGCAAAGTGTTTGGATCGTTTGGAACCGGACAAAGTGGAGTATCGAAAAGTACAGGGATACCCCTTCGTCTCTCACGTGGATGAAAGAAATCACATGGGATGAACCCATGAACTAAAGAAGAAAGTGAAATATGATATATCATATTTCAATATTTTTTATTATTTGTGTTAAATGCGATATGAAATGTGTATGGATCTTTACCAAGAACATGAAATTTTATATAATATTAGATTAAATGCTATATTAAATGTGTAGGGATTTTTTTTAATATATATATATGTTAAATATATATATTAAATAAATATATATATATGTTAAATGTTGTATGAAATGTGTAAATATCTCTAGATGAAGTATGACATTTTAGAATATATATATTATGTTAAATGTTATATGAAATATGCGAGTATCTTTCCAAGAAACATGAAATTTTATGATATGTACAGAATCCTTACAAAGAACATGAAATTTTATAATATATATTATATGTATATTCTACAAATTAATATATTTCTTATGATTTTAATTTTAAAATTATAAATTATGATCATTGAACATTTCTGGTAAAACATTTTCAAGATATCATAATTGCAAAAATGTGTAAATGAAAATATTTTTAATGCTGTCAAATATATTATCGTTAAATGTTTTTTCAGTGTACAAAACATGACACAAAAAGAAACAAGCACACCAAGAAAAAAATATAACCATAATATTACTTGCTATAATTTTCAAATACATATTTCAAAACAAATACAAAGATCTCTACTTATTGAATCTTAAGTCACATAAAGATTTAACAAAAAAATTTCACAAGAGTGAGAACTAAGTCTAGTTAGCATCTAATCAAATAAGTATTTTAATGGAATTAATCAATTTCAATGAGTGAAACGATCAGTTTTTTAAATTTTTTTGAAAAACTTAATCTCTAATTTATACTTATACTATATAGATTATTCACAGAATGTTTCAAACATAGTACAATGTGTAAGTTAGATTAATTTGGATATTAATTGTAGAATTTTAATTCTTATATAGAATTACATAATCATGAAATTGTTCAATAACATTGTAATATGTCAATGCATACTCCTTACTTTGTTGGAAGTAAACTCAAATTTTGATCAATTCAGATGAATCTAATCTTAATTATATGAGATGATTAGATTTTCAACATATAAGAGTTGATCAAAGATCTCCGTCACACTTTTGGAATTTTATATGAATAAAGCTTGAGGTATTTTCAAGAATGTATCTCGCAAATTTGAATCGCTTAGTTTTTTTAGTGTTAGTTGTGCTTTCGTGCGCATACTGCGGTGGATACATAACAATTGTTCTAAAGCGTAGTAGATTCAATTTATCAAATTATGAACCATTGTGACTTTGCATTGTACACACTTTTTAACAATATCAACTTAAGGTTGTTTAGTTGCCACAGTCTATTTTGCCAGCAATTATTTTCCGGATCAGATCACATCATAGGATCAGATCACATATGATTTGATATGGTCATCTCTTGCTTTGATGACGCATTAGTATCATTAAAGGAAGTGAACAGACATTTGTAGATCGTCTACAGATCATAATACATTCTAGTGTAACATTAGAGTTTAGAGAGAATCTCACTCGAAGATAGAAACATAAACTCTAAAGATGAGAGATACCAACAATGGTTCTCCTCTCTCTTATATAGCTCTCACCAACAAGTACAAGGAAATAAGATCTTATCCACACCATCCATCCCACTCCTAGTGGATGGATGACGTGGTGGATAACCCTAACAAGCACACCAACAAGTACAAGGAGATAAGATCTTATCCACACCATCCATCCCACTCCTAGTGGATGGATGACGTGATGGATAACCCTAACAAGCGCACGGATCGCTGACGTGACGTTCCCAACTAAAACACTAACTAACACATTCAGTCTTTACCTACAAGCACACGGATTGCTGGCGTGACACTGTCAACTAACACATCCACTCTATACCTACCAAGTGCGCGGATCGTTGACGTGGCAGCTATGACTACTGCACACTAAAGTATCTATATCAATATTTAGAGTAACCTCCACTTTAGTTCTAACTAACTAAAGATGGTTACATTTAGTATGTCAAAGACAGAGCAGTATATGCCCCTCCCTCACTTTTTGATTCTCTATTGAAAGGTTTTTACAATAACTCTAGCGCTTCAAGTCAATTCTATGCATGCTGAGAATGCAAAGTAAAACTAGTCAATGTTAAGAATTCTCACAATATCCTTGCCCAAAGTAAGCAGATCAACAATACAATGGAAATCATTTCATTTCATTCGAAGATTTTTGGTAATAAATTTGGAACGAGTAGTTGTATCCATACCATAACTCCCAGCTTTCATTAACAATTAAAACAATAAGAGAAAAAATATCATGAACGCTACTATTAAGACACATAATTAAATAAGTAACTCTAGATTCATGGTTTGTTACTTCATAAAGAAACACCAAAATTCAAATAGTTAGAGTCACCAATCGAAGAGACGTGATACTGATATGTTCTTATCTTCTCAAAGAAGAACATGAATGATGCACTAGGAAGTGTATACCGATGGGGTCTTGTTTTCCGCATGGACAAAACCTTGAAGGTCGGCAATCCAAGCTTAGTGCTATTTGTTTTCTGACATCCACACCGATTTCCTAACAGGATCGTCTTGACTACTGCGGTATTCTAGGACATAAAACACTTGTTTGTACACGATTATTTTTCCTCCTTTCAAATAAGGTGTGTATCATGGCCTGCGCCTATAGCTTCAAGAGTGATCAACATTCCCATGTGTCCATAGGCTGGAATAATCCCAATCTTACTCTAACAGTCCAATAAATCTCATAAATATAGCAACTCCCTCCCTTGAGGTAAATAGTCCCAGCACATACCCACTACCAGTGGGCAAACTACACTAACTTTTATCATGTTTCAAGGAGATAGTTTTAATACATAATACAGAAGTTTAGAGAACAAACCTTTACATACAATAGTAACTACCAATGGGCAAATTAGAGTACCTTTTATCACGTTTCCAGGAAATAGTTAATATTCATAATAAAAAATTTTACAGAACAAACCTTTACATACAATAGTAACAGTGAACCTTACTCGCAAATCAAAGTAAAACGAATAGAATAGTGCGACTATCATCCAACGCTACGAGATACTCACCATCAACTTCCCCATAGGCTGAATATTTGTGAAACTAAACATTCAAGATTTGTTGATTATCCAACTGCAGAATATTTATAAACAATAATATAAATCTTGATCATGACCAGTGTAAAGCTGCCAATGTATATGATTGTGAAATTTTCCAAAATCTGTAATATTTGTATTTATCCACAAACTTTTTGATTGTGTAAGAGTGACCTTGAAGATAGTATACAGAACTAAGCATCTATGAAGTCCAGTCAAGTAAAAGTTAGAAGAGAGCAAACTAGACCACACACTATTCAAACCTCTACAAACAATTTTCAGCAACTTCAACAAGGACTAATTGGAGCAAACAATTGCAAAGCCTCAGCCTCATCCTTGAGACATCTACAACTATCAAGAGTTTCAAAATTAGAAATTAGAAAGCTATGACAATTTACAAGCAAGAAACTGAACTTTTCTGTACACTTTACAAAGAACTGATATCATCATTGCAGCAACTGCCGAAGTATGTTCCAAATCCAAAAACCTCTTTCTTCTGACATAATGTATCAAAACATCTAAAGAATAAAGTGTAAGGTTTTCATCGTCAGTGTGCGGACCAGGTAAAGCATCAAATACAAGATTTTCCATATATAAATCAAAACATATAAATCTCTATGACAAAGCACTTACAAAACTTTAAATATGAATAGATATGTTGGGCGGTGATCCATTATATCACTACCTGCAAAAGACATGACGCACATGCAAGGGCTGAGTGAACCAAAATCATAGATATTGGATAGGAGTGGGCACATACAGATTGTAGTAGATGATAACCAAATAAAACTGAATGACGGATACTCCATGTATCTTTGAAATCCATGGACCTCTTTTAGTAAAAGCATACGAGTTTTTAACCAGAAGTGTAATCAAGGTGCTTAGTATTTTAAATATAGCGACAAGGTGCCAAAAGAACCACATATTTGCCTTGCATTCTAGATATATACAAACTAAGTGCTTTCACCTTACATTATAAAGGCTTAAAAATGCCACGTGAATGAAAATAACAAAAGATATAACAAGCAACTTTACAGTGGAAATGTCTAAGAAAACCATAGAGTTTACGGTATAGTTTATTGTACATTACAGACAAGTTTACTGATTTAGTCAAATCCAAAGCCGTGTTTAGCGTCAAAGACAAGTTCGGAGAATTGAGAATGTAGCATGACAATGACATCATCCTCGAGTATCTCTTCATTCCATCCGCCTTGCTCCTCCTCAAGGTGTTGAACGATCGATTCCAAATTTTTTTCCTCGCCCTCTGCTAGAATAGTTGTGGCCGCCGCCGCTCAATGCACCAGCACTTTGAAGATACTTGCATTCATCCACGAACGGAGACACATGACCATGATGAATATTAAGGATGACAATGACTGTTGCATACACGTGAATTCGAGATCGGGTGCAGTATTCACGCGCTCTGATGGCGTCGACGTCGTTGATGTTCCTAGATAGTACATTGCCATCTAGTAATGACTCGGCAGCGCATCCTTTTGGGTTGGTCATCATGACAAGATTTTGATGAAGCCCGAGGCATGAACAACAACAAACAACAAGTATTGATCGACCTCGTCGCTCATTCCACTGTCGACGTCCTACGGTTAAAACATTGCAGCGAATAGCGAGTTGCATGACGCTTTCGATGACAGGTCTTTGCTCTTGGTCGAGCTAATCTTGGCAGAGTAGCGTCGCTGCAGGATGTTGGATACGATATTAGTGACAATCAACAACTCGGCAGTATCAGAAGGCTTCAGGATCTGGAGTTTCAAATACACTGCGATGATGGCTGGTTCTTGCACCAACTTCTTCTCATACGATTGCAATTTCATCTTCATGGAAATCGCCGTCAAAGCATCGTGAATCTCTTGCAAGTTTTGCTCATTGTTGTTGCAATGCTTGATCAACATGACAACACACAATAACACAAGGTCAAACATTGGC